GAATCCTCATATTGTTCTCGCCACATTATCTTCATTGTCATTATGCTCATCAATTTTGAGTTCATGTATCTCCTCCTCTGTAAGGTCCAGCAAAGGAAGCATGCTTTGGTCTATTTTCCTATGAACTTTTATGGAGAAATGAAATGAACTCAGGAGTGGATCCGAGCTCAATATGAGTCTTTTGAACAAATCCTCATTAATTTTAGCAGGGCTGATTTTTGTTATGTGAACATTCCAGAATTTTAGTTGCTCTTGTGGGCGTGGTCATAGTTGCCTCTGTTACCAATTTTGAAGCAGAGACGTTTCCCTCTTCACGCAATTTCATGGACTCAGCAAATGATAACTCGGCTGCTGTATTTTGCCGTCGAATTTTTTCAGTCTTTCTACGTTTACTAACGTCCGAACTTTCTACAAATAATGTTTTTGACGGCCGACCTGCTATAATAATATAAAATGTTAGAATTTATCCCTATAGATCAATAATTATTTTGCATATTTACCTCCACTGGTAGATGCAGAATAATCAGGAACCGTAAGTTGTCGTTGACAATGAAACACTTCATCGGGAAAAATAACATCAACCTGTATAGCCAATCTGAATACCTAGACAAGAAATTTCTGTCTTTCCTCCGAGCAGCTTTCTATTTTGTTAAATATTACGGAAAAAACGATTGCCTCATGAAGTTATTGAGAGAGTTAGTTGCAATTTCATTTCCGTTTGTTTCAAAATGATCTTTTAAAAAGTCCAAACATGAATTTTCTTCACAGAGAAATCTTGGCCAGGTATTTCCATCATTTTCTCATGTAGATGCAGACGTGTAATTGCCATCATGAATAAATGCCAAAAATAAACCCACACACTTTAAAACAATATATTTGTTGACTTACAACACCGCAAAATAACACAAACTAAACTGATGACTACACTGAACACCATAATATAATAAAAAACTAAATACTGGCCGCCCGGCCGCGTGTAAACATGTTTAGAACTCAGCGCAAATGAATCCGAATTGCAGCCTGATGCGCACCTTTGCGCAGGTAAAACAAAATGTTCCTAAATTCCTTAGACTATAGGCTTTTATGTAATGTATAATTTATTGATGAGCAAGGACTAGCAATAAACATAAAAGACCAATAAAATGGCATTTCTTCCAAAACTGTATTGGGTTATAGGCAGCGAATTATGCCTGAAAGGAAAAGCGACCTTCATTATAGTATTTAGGTTATTTAAATCCTTAAAATATGTACTTTTTTCTGATATAATTACATTTCCATGAAAAATTTGACCTGCAGCGGCTAAAAAAGAAAACATTTTAATGCCAAAATATGCTGTATAAAATTATTATTATTTTTTTAGCTTTTGCTCATAAAGATATTCAGTCATGATAAAGCCATTAAAGCAATGCTTGGTTAAAAGTTGTAAAATGAGGTAAAGAGACATATACGTAAATTTGACGATTCTCAAATAAACTAAAAATTTTCAATTTCGATCGGTTTTTTGAAAATTTTGAACACTGTGAGGTGTTCTATGGTTTTTCTTCTTCCTCTCCGCATTCTCTGCAGTAGTCGTCGTTGGAAATCTTCCATATCACGAGGTTTACCCCCGTGGGACAGTTTCCAGTGATGACATCTACACCTGCGTACTATGTTCTTTTTGTGCTCTAGTAATTGTTTTGTCTTTTTGCTTTCTACCGCTGGCCACAGTCTTCGAGCTGTAGCGCAGTTCTCACGGTGTTTGGTTGCAGTCACGTCTCTTGCTACTTCCTTCATTGTGTTGATCGTCACAACTGGTGGGTCATCTGCTACGGTGTCTGCCCTAGCCCTCTCTTTGGCAACTCTGTCTGCTTCTTGGTTGTCCACTACATTGCTGTGGCCTGGCAGCCCGCACAGAGTAACCCCGCCTTGACGTAGCCAGGACTGTGCTTCTCGGCAGTCCATCATAGTTTTCGATCTCGGGATGCTTTTAAAGCGCCCAAGCTGTCAGAGTATATCACGACATCTTCTATTGGTCAATCAGTAATTTTCTCTCGTATACAACTAGCCGCATCCATTATAGCGTAAACCTCTGCTTGTAGAACATTATAGCACAGAATATCTAGCTACTCAACAGAAAAATACTCGAAATGAAAGAGCTAAAATTGCACAAATAAAATACTAGATGGCGCGACAATATCATAATCAGAATATAATTGGAAATTTTGAACTTTCGGTTTTGGATCGACGGCACGTCGACGGCCTTGGAGCTTGGCTATATATGCACAGTTGCTAGATTCGAAAAGACTTTAATTGGCATTTCATTCTTTTTCTGGTGTGAATAATAATTTCTTTCTATTCTTCTTTTCTTGTCAGATACACTTATATTAATTATTCGTTTGGCTTTTAAAATAGTTTTAAGTATATTGTTATAAAACATATACTCATTTACTACATTATAAAAAATACATTTTTAATATACACTACCTTATAATGTTAACTAAGAAAATAACTTTACCTTTAAAATTAATAATATACAGGGCGATTGATAGTTATATTTATTAATGCTGGAACGTTAGTAATGAAATATACGTTTAATAATAATGGAAATAATGTATTAAAATGCAGTACAATAAATGTTAATTGACTAAAAAAATACTATAATAACAAATTTCTTTTGTTTGCCACGTTATTTATATAGACCTAGGTAGATTTTAAAAAGTCACACATGTACAATTAATAAATATATTAGTTCGGCATAAAAGTTGCTGTCACGACATCGTACAATAAATTAAAATTCGTAAAATTAATATTATTAATTAAACAAATCTTTATAAAGAAACGCAAGTATACCAAATTTGGGTCCAATCGAACTCCAGAAAATAATATCATAATATTGTACCATATTATGGTACCACTCCATATACCTCATAATATTGCAATGTCACCGAAGATCCGTAGTATACCGAATTTAAACATAATTGAACGCCAGGAAATAAAAAAAGGTACCACTTTATATGTATAAAGGTAACCACCTTATATGGGTACCACTTTATAAGTTTAAGCCCAATCGAACGCCAGGAAATGATATCGTAATATGGTACTACATTATGGTACCTCTTGATATGCTTCATGGTACCATATTGCAATGTCAATATTATAATATCAATAATCGTACGTCAGGAAGTGGTATCATATTATGGTGCTATAGAAGGTACCACTTTATATGCATCATAGTACCATCATATTACAATGTCACCGAACATACGTAGTATACAAAGTTTAAGCCCAATCGAACACCAGGAAATATTATCGTAATATGGTACTTGGTACTATATTAAGGTACCACTTTATATATATTATGGTACCATAATATTGCAATGTCATCAAAAATACGCAAGTATAATCAAATATGAGCCCAATCGAACGTCAGAAAGTGGTATCGCAATATGGTACTATATTAAGGTAATACTTTATATGCATCATAGTACCATCATATATTACAATGTTACCGAAGATACTTAGTATACCAAGATTAACTTTAAACGAACCCCAGGAAATGGTATCGTATATGATACTATTATGGTACCTCTTGATATGCTTCATGGTACCATAATATTGCAATGTAATCAAAAATACGCAATTATATATCCAATATGAGCCCAATCGAACGTCAGGAAGTGATATCATAATATGGTACTATAGAAGGTACCACTTTATATTTATGCTCCATGGTACTATAATACTACAATATCACTAAAGATATATACGTAGTATACCAAGTTTAAGCCCAATCGAACGCCATGTATCGTAATATGGTACTATATATTACGGTATAACTTGATATGCTTCATGGTACCATAATATTGCAATGTCATAAAAAATACGCAGGTATATATCAAATACCGTATAATACCGAAAAAAAACGGGGTCCAGTTGGCTGGGAAATGACGATCGATAACATTTCCCATATAAATTTACATATAAAATTACAGCGATTTTCTTTTCATAGCCTAACGCCGTTTTTTCGCGATCATACGGTATGAACATAATCGGACATCAGGAAGTGGTATCATAATACTAGAACAATACTTATTATATTGTCGCCGAATTACAATCAAAATTCAGAATTCAATTATAACCAAACGTCAGAAAGTGATTGTAATTCAGCTCTTAAGATTTAACTCCAACTAACATGGCAAGTTAAATACATAAAAGTTTGAAAAAAGAGCTCTGATCTATTTTAATATGTTTAAATGATGTAGCAAATTTGAAGGTAGGCTTTATCGGAAGTTTTACAATATGAATTACACAATGGCGACACTGCACAAAATTCTTTTAAACTTCGTTTGTAGAAAACTGTTTTCTTTTAAATTTATCGCCCTCTATTATGTAGTAGCTAAACTACCGCATCAAAATATCTGATTTGGAAACAGGCTTTAAAAGCCTGTCTCCTTTTGATACCTACGGTTTATACATGTAACGAGGCTTCTGTTGCGTAGCTAGATATTCTGTGATTATAGCCATCCGATAGCATTAAAGATCTAGACATGCGACGTCTAGTTCCTCTGAGAAGATGTCTATACATGTGCCTCCTGAAGTTACAGAAACATCTGTGTAGACTGCTATCTCTTGAGTTTTATTGCATTTATGTAACGCACGCTGTTCCAGAGAGCATAGTATAAGATATATTAAAAAACGAGCTTTCTTAAAATCCTTGTTTTCCCGACATTGCTACCTCTCGTACTATAGTGTATAGCAGTGGCGGATACAGAGACACGGGGCCATGGGGCACGGGCCCTCCTAGATCTATAAATTGGGTTAAATATTAGCCTTTTGGTATAAAGATAGCTAGATAGATAAAGGTGTAGCATTACTCAAGTGTATTAAAGTAATTTGCGAACAACACTAACAGCATGTGAAGAGGAAAGGAACGATGCTATTTTTTAAGTTCATCTAAGTATTTGGTTTGTAAGTTTATCCCTTTCAGTTGTTCCTGAAAATTAATAAATTATATACATCACCTTTTTTAGTCTTCCGGTGACTGTTCTTTGGTTTAGGCGCTACCGATGACACACTTTTCCCATTCATATTATCAATCATGGCCAAGTGCGATTCGATGTATTCCTTGACAGGCTCGGCGCGTTCTCTACAATCGGCCGGTAAGTTGTCGAATTTGACCAGCAATTCCTTCAGGGTGGCTGCCTTGCTCTGAACAGTGTCAGTATCACCGGTGTGGAAAACGTACGTGCTTTGGTGATCATCGAAATCTAAATTCAAATTCAAAAAATTTCATTGGATATCAAAAAGATAGAGAGAGAGAGATATTGTATATGTATGCACCATGATTACAATGCCAAACGTGTGTGTGCTCTGCATAGAGTGCACTATTTTTATTTGAAGCACTTTATCCGGTGTTGTCATTCTATTTCTTATTTACTAAAACTTTGGGTAAAAACACTATACCCGAAAAGTGGTTCAAAACTGGAGTGATTATAACTTTATTAATACTTACCTATATTTTCGGTAGTATTTTCCTAAACACCAAGGGTAATCAATTAAATTCGTGATGGAAAATTTACATTATCCTTAAGGGAGAGCGCCCACCAAAGTGACGTAGAATATGACGTTGCACATACATGGCAATGAAATGGCAATAGCGTTGCATTATTTTTCAGGAAGCGCACATATAAGTGATGTGGCAGTGGCGTAAATATGTCGTCCTCAGAAAATGAAGATTTGTTAGCAGTTGTACTGCAACCTAATTAATTTGTTAGCAGTGTTCATTACAACCTAATTAATATAAACCAAAATTATCCAAAGCGCTGCTATTGGATACACCCCATTGCAAAAAGAGACAAAGGAACAGTGGATTTCGTGTTTTTAAGGAATTGAATAAGTATCCGGAAATATTTCAATTTCATTTTATAGAATGAAAAAATAAACCTTTAACATGCTAGTTAGAAAAGCGTCAATCAGTGATACAAAATTTTGAAGTCTGAATTGAAAGAATTCTGATTCAATTGAAGTCTGAATCGTCCTTCATTTTTACCAAAATTCGAGTAACGTGTTAATAGCACGTGGCAAAAAGTAGAACCAGTTCTATTTTTGAAGCAGTGGCGTGGTAGGCTACAACTACAAATGACACATTTCTGGCAGCGCTACTTCAGTGACTTACGTGTGGTGGGCGCTCTCACTTAGGGAGAGCGCCCACCAAAGTGACGTATCATCTGAAGTCGCGTGATCTGGCAAGTAACATGGATCTAACAAGTTACATCGAATTGAACGAAAGTCCATAAGTGAATCAGTGCATGCTGAAGTAGTGCTGTCAGAAAAATGTCATTTGTCGTTGTATTTGCTTCAAAAATAGAACTGGTTCTCTTTTTCACCACGTACAGATGATACGACACGTTACTCGAATTTGGTAAAAATGAAGAACGATTTGAACTTCAATATACGTTTTTTATCATTGATTGGAGGCTTTTCTAACCAGCACATGAAAGGTTTCTTTTTCCATTCTATAAAATGCTTGCAATCTTTCCGGATACGCCCATATTAAATACCTTTAAAACACTAAATCCGCTATTCCTTTATTTCTTTTTCCAAAAAGGGCTGTATCCAATACCGATGCTTTGGATAATTTTGGTTCATATTAATTAAGTTTACAACTGCTAACAAATCTTCATCCTCTGAGAACGACATGTTTCGCCACTGCCACGTATTAAATTTATATGTGCGCTTCCTGAAAAATCATGCAACGCTATTGCCACATTATTGCCGTGTAGGTGCAACGTCATATGCTACGTCACTTTGGTGGGCGCTCTCTCTTACAGGGTATATTTTATGGCATCACAAAATGGGAATATTTAAAATGCTGTATCTCTATTTTTTTAAATACAACACTCTGTATATTATACTTCGTTTAGATGCAGAATTAAATAATAAACATTTTTTGTATTTAAAGTGTTCCTAAAAAACCATATGGGGTTTTTAACGGTAACATATCAGAAAAGATCATTATTAGGTAGCTTTGACAAAAATTGACTGTTGGAAGAGCCATGCAAAATATAATACCGCGAGTTTCTGCAAAACAGTTAAAAATTTATCTTAGTTTTAAAAATTATTTTAAAAACTTAAAAAATAATCAATTTTTAATTCTGCATCTAAAAGAAAAATAATATACAGGGTGTTGCATTAAAAAAATGAGATATAGCATTTTAAATTTTAAATATTGCAATGTTGGCGACACCATACAAATTACCCTGTATAAAATAATGTAAATTTTCTTTTGCGGGTTTCTTCTCTTATCCTTGGTGTTTAGGAAAATATAGCTGAGTATTAATAAAGTTAAATTTACTCTCGTTTTTAACCACTTTTCGGATATAGTGTTTTTCACCAAAGTTACAGCAAATACACGGCATAGTGCTGAAAATAAAAATAGCATACTATATGAAGAATTTTATGCTGAATCCAAAATCTGTACAGAAAAATGGGGGGGGGGGGGTAATTTAAAAAAAAAACTTAAAACTTTTTTGGTATATTATGTATACAGGGTGGTCCGAATTGTATTCCGGAAACTCCGGCAGCATATTTTACAGATCAAAATAAGTAAAAAGTTCGTATAAATGTATGTCCTAAAATACTTAGACGGAGATACAGGGTGTAGAAGTTTGATTTTTATTTCGATTTTTTCCAAACAATTTCTGAACTAACGACAATATTTGGATCAAAATTGGTATCTGGGAGTTTTGTGACACGAGAAATTTGATTTTGATGTCAAAATTACTCCTATTTGTAGGTGGCGCCACCTACATGTGTTTTAACTGTTTTGAAGAGTAATAACTTTTCGACCGTACCTGTATAAAACCACTGACTAGAAAAATATACATTTCCATGACTTTTTATGTAAAAAATGTGTCTTGGTAAAAATCGCTACGAGCAACCGTTCTCAAGATATTTAGAATGGAAATAGTCAATACATGTAATTATTGACAAAAAAATAAGCACACGTTGAGTATAGTTATTTGACTGAAATAATAAATTTTTATTTTTTTTTTAAATTAATCATAAGTTTTTGTGCGAAAAAATGATGATTAAACAGTTTCTTTTGAACTTTTGACACAAAAAGATTTCAAATTTATGATTTCAGTCTAATTACTATTTAGTCAACATGTTTAATTGATGTCAATGATGACAGGTATTGATAATTTCGATTCCAAATATCTCGAGAATCATTACTCGTAGCGATTTTTTACCAAGAGACCTTTTTTATGTAAAAAAGTCGTAAATGTATATTCTTTACTCAGTAGTTTTATATATTATATAGGTACCGACGAAAAGTTATTACTCTTCAAAACAGTTAAAATACATGTAGGTGGCGCCACCTACAAATGGGAGTCATATTGACATCAAAATCAAATTTATCATGTCAAAAAACACCCATCCACCAATTTTCATCCAAATATTGACGTTGCTTCAGAAATTATTTGGAAAAAATCGAAATAAAAATGAAACTTCTACACCCTGTATCTCCGAAACTAAGTATTTTAGGGCCTACATTTATACGAACTTTTTTACTTATTTTTATCTGCAGAATATGCTGTCGAAGTTTCCGGAATACAATTCGGACCACCCTGTATAACAAAATATTTTTGTGTGTGCCCCTTGCATCATGTATCATCTGTATAAAACTTTTTTCGTTTCTTTGATAGTGACGACGATATTGTACTTCATCGCACTAAAGTCCAATGAATTCCAATAGGCGATGAAGTCCAATACTGCCACCCTATAAGTATATGTAATAAATTTTCAATAATTAAGATTTAGCGCTACAATTCCAAAGATTTGATCCAATGTACGAGAAAGATTTTTCAAAGTTGGATATTTTATGTTTGGGTATAAAAAATTGTGAATCTTTATTGGATGATGCGAATGTTCAACGGATATAATACATTGTTTAAGCACTGAAGTAGGCCCATAACCTTTCTGCGACGTTGCAAAAGCAGTAATGAGAACGTCTCACATAACCAGGGCAAAGACAGTCGGAAAAGTTTATAATAGAAAATAATTCGCCAAAATTTACGACAGACCTGGTAAGCAAAGACAGAAAGACAGTCAAAGCTGCAGTGGGTCAACTAACAGGTTAGTAAGTTAAATAGACATCTAAAGCTAATAGGAAATAGGATTGACTAACAAAGCCATGTGCAGGTTTTGTCAATCTGAAGAAGAAACGACAGGACACATTTTACGTCGGTGCGACAGCTGGCAAATGTGCTATTCTCTCTGACAGGCAATGATATTGACAACAAAGAGCTATATGACAACAACGAGCTATATGGAGGGTTCAGTCCCCAAGTTAATAGAAAAGGATAGGACTACTCTAAGAAGTGTCTTAACAACAGAACCTGAATCATTAACGAGAGATAGAGTGCATCTACCATTACGCTCCGCCCGCACTGAATAGGTATCAGCGAGAGCGAGCGGTACCTAATTTTCAGTTTACGTTGAAATAAATGTAAGCCCGCTCACCGCATTAGATCGGTGCGCTCGGTGCGCTTCGAGCTATCGGCGTTACTCGCGCCATCAGGCGAAATCAGAGAATGCATGGGAGGGGGCGAATAGTCTACGCCGAGCGACTGTTTTTAGTGGAGCGGTTTTACATTAAACATGTCCGACGAATTATTAGACAGTTAAAGCAAGGCACAATACGTATACGTATCTCTCGACACGTAACGCAGAAACCTACGTTACGTCTGCCGTAGCGTTTTCGTGTAAACAAGAGTTAAAGCAAGTATTTTGACGTACGTAACGCAAATGGTACATTTGTAATTCTAAATTATTTTGTTAAACAATTTATTTAATTTTAAAACTGAAAATGGATATCTATTATTCCATTGATTCCACATTAAATTTATAAAAGTTTGAAAAATGAAGAAATTTATAACTGGAAATTATTCTATTACAGAAAGTAGTCCTTACAACTTAAAATGCTCTTAGTAATAAAAAATATTGGAAAACAGACACAGTTTAATGATTATTTATTAGATTCCATCTTTTAGAATCCTCATATGGATTTTGGCTAAGAACTAGCATTTAATTAAATAGATTCCAAAATGAGTTTTTGTTTTTTATGATGCTTAAAATTTTCATTCTAATTTATTGTAATAAAATAGGCCCAGTTCTGTTACACTGGCCCCAAAATTTATGAAATAACTTAATTACTAGTTTACCTAATTACTTGTTTGTGAATTTGTACGTTTGGCATCATTCGGGTGAAAATCGAAACTCCTTCGGCTCGATACGTTTGCGTTTTGTACGTACGTAAAGGCACGTAAAGATACGTATCACGTATCCGTAAACGCAAGTGAATTTCTCACTGCGCAAGCGTACATGTCAAACGATACGTTTACGTCTCCGTCTTTGGCCGTGCTTTAACTGTCTATTAGTCGAAAGTGTACGAGACCATATCATATTTAATATGCGGTTTTTTATAAAAATTTCATACAAGAACGTAACCTATATTGTTTACTACACTTATTCAATAACTGAATTAGAAAACCTTCCGATTAAACCCATTTATTTCTCATCTCGTTTTGATTATCTCACATTATTTTGAAAATCGAATTTAAATATCGTCAAAAAACTTATCATATTATTTAATTTTTGGTTTGTTTTGACGTTAGTAATAACAGCTGATAAATAGTCATACTATGTTACTATATGTTGATCGCTCCGTAAAAGGTACAAATAGAGAAAATAATATTTATGTTTGAATAAAATATTTGTATACATATATCTACCGTATGATAGAAAAAAACCTCGTCCAGTTGGATGGGAAATGACGATTGATGAAAATTCCTATATAAATTTACATATAAAATGGCACCGACCTTCATTTCACGGCCATCGCTGATGCCGTTCCTTACGTACCGATAACGGTACTACTATTAATATATTAATGTGTGTTTGGTTTGGTTTGGCTTTTGTTTAGCTCTAAGCTCCGCGCGCACTGAATAGGTATCGGCGAGAGCGAGCGGCGCGAGCGGCACGACCGGTCGGAAAGTCGATTGTAGCCGCGCACTGGAGTCGCACGATTGACGGTCGAGAGTACATCACCAGCATAAATTTGAGCATAGACGAGGAGAAGTTTATTCAAATTTAGTCAAATTCATTCGGCATTTCAAAAAATTATAAAGTATTATTACTATTTATATTTTTATGCAACTTTTTATATTTTATGCTTTATGATGGAAATTAATATTATTTAGATCTTAACCAAACACACATTAATATATTTTGATCTTAACAAACCACATAAAATTAGTGAAATAGAGTGGAAGATGGGGATAAAATATACTACATGACTCTTAGCTTGACCGATTTTAACAAATTTGGTTCAATCAAAAAGGTTTAATTTGTTCTTTAAAAACAAAGCTAGATATGAAAAATAGTCAAATAAAACTTCTATTTTTAGTTTTTTAATCTGTAACAGTCTTTTTTTCTAGAGAGCTATTACTAACGCCTAACAGTCGGTCTTTTTGTTCTCGGGCGCCACCCCCAAAGTTTAAAGTGTTTGAGAGACCACCTCGGCCAATACGGGTAGCTTTTCTACAGTGGAGAATCCAGGGAAATGGGGTAAAAGCCAGTTAAAGTCGAATATATTCCATAACGAGGTTTATTTAAATAAATTAATTATGAATCCAATATCTTCAAATAAATAAAATATGAAGAAAATACTAAAACATGAAATATCGCAAAATCTAACACAGAGAAATTAAATTAGTTAATTACAATAGCAAATAATTAAGTAATTAATTAATAAATTAAATTAATTATGAATCCAATCTCTTCAAATAAATAAAATATGAAGAAAATACTAAAACATGAAATATCAAAATCTAACACAGAGAAATTAAATCAGTTAATTACAATAGCAAATAATTAAGTTCATATAATTTAAATTCAATATCTTCAAATAAATAAAATAGAAAAATACTAGCAATACATATTCACATGCATCTTTAAATAAATCAGATATATAAGAAATATTATTATTATTGTAAAATAAAAGAGGAACCTTAATTAACTCCTCCTCCGTAAAGGAATTTTATACCATAAAAATAAAATAAAAAAACTCTACTGTGCTGAAACTAAAATTTGTGATTACTACAACTCTGATGGGGTATCTGGCGGCTACAAAAAAAAAGAAAGAATGTGATTACCTCTTTTTTTTTAAGTAAATCGGCGTCGGATCAAACGAAACGGTCGGTTTTCTGAATCGCCTACAGCAGCCCGGAATCCAGGGACACTAATTATTCACAGTCAGGTATAAAGAAAACTTAAGAAAATCGGCGTCGGATAAAACGAAACGGTCTGGTTGTCTATTCACGATCAGGTATAAAAAACTTAAATGCTCGGTTTTTAACTATCTATACTCATAAATCAGAAATACGGTTTAGACTTATTTTAAATCAAATCTCTGCGACCACGATTTATACTTATTTAAAATCAAAAACGGAGATACGGTACTTTTACTTTAAAACTCAAGAATTCGGTTTTTAACAGCAGCGCTGATAAAAAAACGGATCAGACTCGCGAGGTTTACTTAGAAAAGTTCACCGGTACTTAGTCTCAACAGGCAGAACCCCGTTTTCGCGCTCCCGTCGCTTAAATAATCTTTCCCGTCGGGAACCACGAACCACGTTCGGTTACCATCGTCCACCTCCCATCAAGATTCCTTACAGTAAAAAAAACGGCTTTTACCCGTCGATCCTACAAAAAACCATTTGCTGTTTGTACCAAAAAAAAACAAATTTCAACGTCTCCATGCAAATCGACGAAATATTTAACACAATTTTATCAGCAAATAATTTTTAATATTAAAAGTATTTTTCAGTTTTAGACCATCATAACAGTTCTAAAAATAAAAATAAACCATACTAAGCTTGTCTAAGAATTATTTGTTACCATAATCCTTCAAAACAAATGAACATATCAAATTCTATTATATACAGTATGGTTCATAAATCCACAAACGCTATCCATCCTGGTGATCAAAAAAACAAATATTTAAACATTTACCATGAGAATATTAACGATAAAAAAAATAAAAAAGTTAGGTCCCAAGGCAGGATCGAATCCGGGCCCTTTGGTGTACCAGCGAAGTACTTTCACGCCGCACTATCGTGCCGTGTTTTATTAATGTTCACGCCTAGCATTTAACAGGTTAAATAAAAAAAATGAAGGGACTTCATTACAAATCTAAATAAGTGTCATTACAAACATTTATATATAGCTTTTATTTTAAGTTTTTAAAATCTTTGTTTTAAGTCAGTAGTAAATAAAACGAAACTTGTGTTTACATTTTGTTTATACGTATAAATAATTTTCTACGTTTGTGGTAAGAAAAAATTATATATTAAACACATTGTTAGTGATCAAATTGTATTGTATATTATAGATTCTGAAGAAAACCGAATTAAAATTGGTCGAAACGTCAATCATTAAACAAAATGTAAACACAAGTTTCGTTTTATTCACTACTGACTTAAAACCAAGATTTTAAAAACTTAAAATATAATAAAAAAGTAAAAGAAAATTGAAAAAAGAAAAACATATAAATAGTTTTTATAGTACCATATTATCGAAAAGGAACGGCATCAGCGATAAGCATGAAATGAAGGTCGGTGCCATTTTATATGTAAATTTATATAGGAAATGTCGTCAATCGTCATTTCCCATCCAACTGGACGCCGTTTTTTTCTATCATACGGTAGATATTGTACAAATATTTTATTCAAACATAAATATTATTTTCTCTCTTTGTACCTTTTACGGAGCGATCAACATAGTAACACAGGATGACTATTTATCAGCTGTTATTACTAACGTCAAAACTAACCAAAAATTAAATAATATGAAGTTTTTTGACGATATTTAAATTCGATTTTCAAAATAATGTGAGATAATCAAAACGAGATGAGAAATAAATGGGTTTAATTGGAAGGTTTTCTAAGTCAGTTATTGAATAAGTGTAGTAAACAATATAGGTTACGTGCTTGTAAGAATTTTTTTATAAAAAACCGCATATTAAGTATGATATGATCTCGTAAACTTTCGATTAATAATTCGTCGGACATGTTTAATGTAAAACCCGCTCCACTAAAAACAGTCGCTCGGCGTAGACTATTCGCCCCCTCCCATGCATTCTCTGATTTCGCCTGATGGCGCGAGTACCGCCGATAGCTCGAAGCGCACCGAGCGCACCGATCTAATGCGGTGCGCGGGCTTAAGGTGTACGCGCACTGAATCGGTACCAGTCCGGCGAAGGCGGTGACTCGACTATCGTAGATAGGTAGAGGAAGGAATCTGGCCTCTACAGGCCGAAATGTTTTAGTGGACGCCGGCGCCGTCTATATGTACGATGGTCGCAGTCGCTTTTGCTGGTCGGTCCGATCCGATGCAGTGCGCGCGAAGCCTTACATTTATTTCAACGTAAACTGAAAATTACGTGTCGCTCGCTCTCGCCGATACCTATTCAGTGCGCGCGGAGCTTTACACTGCCAACAGTTAAGAAAATAATATTTTACCAACGTCCTCCATTTCTTTTATTTTATCCATAGTACTCTCCATGTTGTTTCCAGTTATAACTTTCAGGTACGATTTTAAATCTGGCGGTAACTGCTGACAGGAAGTGTGATATCTTAATTTCGTCATCAGATTTGACATTTCGTTCAGTATCATTTTTGTTTCCGCGCCACTATTATATGATGATAATCTCAGATTCGTCTGAAATAATTACATTATTTCAGTGAAAATAATTTATATTTCTATTTTGTTTCCTATACCGAGTGGTGTATAGACACATTTTGGATAAGCATATTTTGAATAATTTAAGAAGAATTGCATCTATTTTTAAATTAAAACTGAACAGAGGTAACCATCAAACACCAGTTAAAAACCGACTACCTTAAGTTGCCAACCTATGATTTGATCATTTTCAAACGCAACTTAATTCTCTTCAAATTTTACTACAGCCAGATGCAAAAAAACGGAACGGAGAAAATTTTGGCCAAATTTAAACTGTTATATTTTTGCTATTTTTAGCCCCCTATTTTTATGAATTTTTAGCAAGCTGTATATAATTATATCAACTTTAATTTGTAAACTCAGTTTTTTATGAACTTTAGTATTTGGTATATTATACAGGGTTAATCGAGGAGTTGTTTTTTTACCCTAACTTTGGCACACCCTGTGCAATAATGTCGTGTGTAAATTTTCCTGAAATATAATTTTAGAGTTAGAACTATGTCTCCCGAGCACTTTGTTTTTTGGATCATGAAAATACATGCCTTGGTTAATTTTTAAGAGCGAATTGAACTTGCCACCAACAATTTGCAATTTTTTCAATTATAATTTATTTTCGAAGTTCTTTTTTCAATATGACAGGCAGCTTTGGTGATTATTGTGAACTATATAATAATAATAGTAATAATAAATCGTCTTTATTGTACTATAATAAAAGATAGTTACAATAATTTGTGGGCGAAGTTTAGCTGTAAGCTATTCTACCACTTAATCCAAACATAAATTACATTTCCCTATACATATATATTCAATATACCGAATGATCGAATAAAAACGGCGTCAGCGATGGCTATGAAATGAAGATCGCTGTCATTTTTTATGTAAATTTATATGGGAAATGTCATCGATCGTCATTTCCCAGCCAACTGGACGCTGTTTTTATTCGATCATACGGTACTTACAATATACAATATTAAAAAAAACATAAATAAATTATCCAATATGATGTTAAGAAAAAATAAAATATAACAGATAACAATATGCATAATAGATTATATTATAAATTTATTATGTATCGGAGGTTAGGAAATTTCGTTTTGTATTGTATCTGAAGGATGTCAGTGACAGATTTTTAAATTTTTCAGGTAATGCGTTATATAGTTTTACGGCATTGTATGTAAACGAGCGACTAAAAAGCGATGTTTTATGCTTTGGCATTGTAAATTTGTTTAAAAATCTTATAGGCCTTTGTACTATTAAACTTTGCGATATTAACTTCATTATCAAATACTGTGGCTGCTGCTGAGCAAATAGACGGTGAATAAAAGTAGAGAAAAGAAACTGAAAATTTTTGTTAATTTTATCACTTAATCCCAAAAGTGCACTAGTCGTGCTGAATCCTTTTCGAAACCCAGATTGACATTCAGGAATAATATTATGACTCTCCAGGTATTGATTAAGTTGTTTGTGTACTATTTTTTCAAAAACTTTTGAACAAATTGACAACAAACTGATCGGCCGAAGATCAGAATACGTAACTGGGTTATTTATTTTAGGAATTGGTATAATGACTGATTTTTTCCACAGTTTTGGAAAATATTTATTTTCAATGCATTTGTTGATTATATGTGTTAAAAATGAACCAATTTTGAAAAAACTAAGCTGAATCATTTTAAGAGATACTCCATCTATACCACTTGCGTTGGATTTAATAGTGTTAAATATGTTCCATATTTCCTCTTCATCGGTTAATTGAAGAGTGAAGTTTAAATTGTTTTTATATACTACTAGTACTGCCCATCATGTTCGACATTTGGGAAATGCTTGGCAGGAGGGTTAGAGGTCGCCAAGCGTTACCAGCTTCATTAAATGAACTTCGCTTGGTCCTTAAAGAAGAATGACAAAAAAGCAATATGAGGTGAAAACATAACGCAATATGATATATGCAGCCTCAAATGACAGTATACCAACAACCCATCGATTAACCCTGTATAATATGCCAATTACTAAAGTTTACAAAAAACTGAGTGTAAACTCAGTTTATTGTAAAACTTTAACGATTTTTTTAGCAAACTGTATATACTTATATCAACTTTAATTCGTAAGAATTAAAGTTATCTATATGGAGTGTAAGTATACAGAGTTTCTCACCGTAGCCGTTCGTTAATTTTTTTTTAGAATTCAATTCTGCATCCATTTGCTATAACTTTCCCTATACCCTATAACGCCACCGTGGGTGAAAAAAAGTTTATAAAGGGAACAGCTTCACCAGGTCCCGTTACAAATAGGTTCCAGCTAGCTCAGTAAATAATTAAGTAAAATATATGCACAGAACAAGAGATGTCAAAAGGGAGGTGTATGGAAAAAGTGTACTGATTGAAAAGTCTAAAATGTACTGGATTCGTTTAATAAATATTAAATTTAAAGTTAAAACAAATTGCCAAGATCTATCATAAAATGTAGCAAATATTTAAATACAAAATAATGAAATATATATACAGGGTTGTTCACCACATACGACACGGAGTATTTGTATCTAAACGATGAGATTTTTACAAATTGTAAGTTTTGGGTTCGATGAAGGACTATTAGAGGTACAATTTAAACATAATTTTACAAGATACAGAGTGTCCCAAAGTTTTACAACGATACAGAGTGTCCCAGAGTGTCCACAGTTTTATAAGTAAAAAATATCAAAGTTGTATTTTTTTAAATGGAACACCCTGTATATTATTACATTTTTAGTTTCTACGATTAAAATAAAGGTAAATTTGATTAAGATTTATTATACTTAAACCTTACCGTTTTTGAAATATTTTCAATTTTGTGGAATTGCAGTAAAAATTTTAAGGCTTCATTTCTCCAAGTGTATCAAAGTTTTTAATACTAAATATTTACTGAAGTTTATTTACTGGTCAGTTATTGTGAATAACTAAATTATAAGAAAATGCATTTTCTACGAAAACTTGAAGGGATACGTAAAAAATGGTATAATACAATTTGATATACAATTTAATTGTGCATCTGATTCTCCTAAAATATACAGGGTATTCTCCTAAAATATACAGGGCATTCCATTTAAATTAAACAAGTTATTGCCGTTTGAAGCTAATAATTATTTAAAATAAATTTTTAGACACTCTGTATAAGGTAGTATTATTTTTATTATTGCAACACAATAACTGATCAATAAATAAACTTCAGTAAATATTTAGTATTAAAAACATTGATACCCTTGGAGAAATGAAGCTTTAAAATTTTTACTGCAATTTCACAAAATTGAAAATATTTCAAAAACGATAAGGTTTAAGTATAATAAACCTTAATCAAATTTACCTTTATTTTAATCGTAGAAACTAAAAATGTAATAATATACAGGGTGTTCCGTTTAAAAAAATACAACTTTGAATTGTTTATTTATTTGGGACACTCTGTATCTTGTAAAAATATTTTTAAATTGTAGCTCTAATAGTCCTTCAACGAACCCCAAACTTACAATTTGTAAAAATCTCATCGTTTAGCTACAATACTCCGTGTCGTATGTGGTGAACAATCCTGTATACTAGTAAAAATGAACTATCCGTAAAATAAATTAAATCATGAATAGTATCACAAAATATTGTTGTGACTAAACTGTGAACAACCCTGATGCGTATTTGTGATTATGATTAAATGTCTATAAAGAATAAAATGAAATTTAAATGTAAAAATCCCCTGGTATACCAAGTTCACATATGATCGTATATTTAATGTAATAAATTTTAATCAATCATAAACGCAATAAAATAAGAGATGATTAAAGTCTTATCTGTCATCCAGTGGTCGTTCCAGTCAGTCCATGAGAAAATACAGGTGTCTGGTCTTCAGTATCCCAGTGGTATTCCTCATCACAGTGGCATTCACGTCACAATGGCATTAGTTGCAGTACCAAATCCAGTACAAAAAAAATGATAAAAATCTTAAGCTAAACCGTAATCATCACTAAGGAGTAATAGCCAAGGAACAAGAACCCTAAAATATGATCTACTTTAGTGACACGTTCTAGTTTGGACATAGTAAAATACCTTTCCACCATGCGGACCTTCCAAGACAAGATGGCGTCGCAACGCATGTTACTCCATGAAAAAGGGTTCCTTAACTGTCCTCGTACTCATCCCAGTACGTCCACGTACCCATCTATAGCTCCTGTCCTCTAAAATAAATAGTTGTAGAAGAGAACCTTACACTTAAGAAAGTTTCTTACCCAACCAACAAAGATATCCCTTTTCAAGGTTTTCCCCGGAATTCCAACCACACAGGCTAAGCTCAACCCATATGTATATTGTAGACCCAACATTCCCACTTGTTGCGTTGAAACAGACAAAAGATAATCACATCAAGTCTATGTTCAAGAATCCTCCGAAGAAATATGCCAAGAAAATATCCTAACACAAGCATAAGTCTAAATAAAGAATTAGTAACCACTGTAGAAAGAAAGGTAGGTTTTAAACAGACAAATTGATATTTTATTAATGAGGTTTTATATTACAGTTATCGGAGACAACTCCATCCCAAGAAATTGTTGTGGTAAAGAGACTTAATAGATAAGATATTATTAGAAGTTATATGTACAGTTAAGAAGTAAGCTAATTAAACGTTATTATTCAAGTTATTCAAGTAAGTTTTAGTTTTATTCCTAAAAATAAGCAAAATAAGTAAAATACGTTACGGTGAAATTTTAAACCGTAACAACCCATTTTCAACGGTTTTCTTGTTAATCCGTATTTTTTACTTTAATTCAATTTTTGGCAGAATCGACAATATCGTTTGTGTGTTTTAAAAGAAAATAATTATGTTAAAGTAAAGAAATTGAATGTAATTAGAACATACGAACAAAACAGGAACATTCGGTGTAACCGGAAGTGGTATGACCTTGAAAATATTTTTAAGTGAAAGGAAATTTTAAATAACCCTAAGAACGCTTGCACACACGCCGGCAAAATCGGTGCCGGTGCCGGACCTGAAGTCGATTGCAATACAAATAAATTAGGTCTTTCACATATACTCCGATCCGGTAAAATAGTCGGGGACCGGCAAATACAATAGAATTAAATACAACTGTCGTAACGGGTGCAAAACCGGCGCCGACTCCGGCACCGATTTTGGCGGTGTGTGTGCAAGCGCTCTAAGTCTCAAAATTTCAAACTTCTACGTTTTTCCTAACCTCAAAAACTTCTAACGAACGGCTACGATGAGAAACCCTGTATATAGTGACCTATAAGGAGACGGAAGGACGCTTTGAAATTTTACTATTAAGTTTCATATCTATCTTAATAGATGGTATGACCTAAGGTGTGTCGGTTTTTAATTGACGTTTGATTGTTAACGGTTTTAATTTAAAAATAGATGCAGTTTTTCTTAATTTACTCAAAATCGGCTGGTCCAAAATTGTTAAAATTTGGTATGCTTATTTACCATACGTAGACCGTAAAATCAATAGGGGAACAAATATTTCAACATTTCAAAATTTGCATGAGATTTCCTATGTTTCTAACGACGATGCAGCACCCGGTATAAACTTTGGTACTTTAAAATTCTTACATTGTATTTTTTTGTATTAAGTCCTTTTCTAAGATTCCCTTTTGCATTTGAAAAACTTTGCGATACAATCTCTCTTGGAAGTGAACCTTGAAGTATTTCGTTTAAGTCCAAATAATCTTCTTTACTTGCATTTGATCTCAACTAAAAAAAAATACCAGTATATTATATAAAATATGTATTTTTTTTATTTTATTATATTACTAATGCCATATCCTCTGATGCAATAGATAATATTGTTGTCATTGTAACGGGAACATGGCTAACGTTGTCGTCAGGGCAAACCGTAGGTTGAACATGACTAACGCACTCATTATCTGGAAATATCATTTCTTAGGCATATTTGTTTGAAATAAATGGTATTAGTCAAACCTTCAGTCAAATCCTCGGCATTTGTAGTAAAAACAAGTGGTGTCAAGGCAGCAATTGAATTATTTCCATTTTGAGCATTCATATCTGAAAACTAATATTATAAATATGTAATTAATTATTTATAGCAACAGTAACTTATAGCAATAGTCTGTACGACTCAGGGATGATTTGGACATACGATGGCAGAAAAAAACAGATAGCGGTTATACAAATCCATTTTTTTATTAAAAAAGTTTCTATTTCTTTAAGTTAACTATGGATGGGTTTCAATATAAATCCACCATGTCTGTCAGTTTTATTGGTCTATTTCAAAAATTACAGATCATACTTCAATATGATTGGAGTGACTGAACAATGGATGAGTCGGGGATGCAGAGGTGTATGAACTAGAGGTGGGCAGAAAATCACTGCCTGTGATTTCTTCACAGTGAAATAAAAGTAGCATATCACGGCTGTTTATAATTTGGAAATAAACCGTGAATGGCTAAAACTTGAAAACATGAAATTAAACAGCGATCGGCCTCCAGGCAACGTTCTCTCCTATTCTTATAAAAGTGTGAGTGAAAGAAAATCACAAAGCAACTGAACATCCCCTTATCGCTTTATGTCGAAAATCGCATAATTCTAAATAAGATTAACGTGGGGTGTAGCGCAGTTTGCACAGAATGGACTCGTTGAAGTAGAATACGAAAGGTTATGATTTGTGTTATTCACAGTTTAAGACTATCAACTAGACAAAGAAAATTAATAGATATTCGATATTCGAAAAAGAAGAAAGTTATTTTTTTATGGAATTTTAAGCCAGTTTGATGGAATCTTGGAGCATCTCCACCAAAGGGCAAGAGAGAGAGAGAGAGAGAGAGAGAGAGAGAGAGAGAGAGAGAGAGAGAGAGAGAGAGCGAGAATAGCTCGCCTTTGTTCCGGGAAGGAGAGAAAAAAGCCAGGATGGAAAGCCGTCCAACACAGGGAAGCAAGCAGGGACGTATCACCAGCTTTTCCTCTACTGCTCGACAAGTGAAAATGCCAAAGGATTACCCAGAGGTTGCACCGACCACCGACCAGCAAACCGCTCTAGAAGAAGCGATATTGGACGAAGTAATAGCAAGCTCAATGATCCACAAAATTTGAGACCGCTGTGTTTTGCAGGGATACACTTTCGGGTGGGCATGCTCCTCATAGATTCATAGATTGTGTATCGCAAGAATCGGCGGATTGGTTGATGGAAACAGCATCTAAGCCAAGTATTAGTACTTGGTAAGGGCCGAAACTGGTTGCAGTGAAGGGAGAAAATAACCCTAAAGAGGCGGCCATCACGGTCTTTTTGCCGAGGAGCAAAGGGAAAGACAACACCTACCCGCTGAGCTTTATCCAGGGTCAACTTCAATGTAAGGACATCGAGTTGGCGAGTCATCAACTCGAGGGAGGAGGGTCATGGTCAGGTCCTCACAATACGAATTGACCTCAAATCCAAGGAGGCAATAGAGAAAGAGGGACATATCCTCTATTATAGATACGGGACAACACCGGTATCAGGTCTCAGGAGAGACCAAGTTAAAGAGGTGGAGAAAATGGAGACAGATCCTCCAGACTCCACCTCACGGGTTTCTCAGCCGGAGGCAAGCTCCTCGACTGTCGACTGTGAAGGGCGACACGGAGGTCCAAACTCCAACCCTGGAAGGGTGTGTACCCTAGGAGGAATAACTATTGTCAGAGGAGGATGGGAAATACCCTGTCCCCTCTATAACAGGGGTATGATGGGTTATAGACTGTGTGATGACCCCCTTACTCATTCTACATTCTATTATTTGGCAAGGGCCGGGACAGGTTGCAATGAAGGGAAGAAACATCTCAAATGGGGTGATCATCATCTTCTCTTTTTTCTGGTCTCTGATCTTTCTAATATTTTTTAATTCGTTGATATTTTTCCTTTGGCAATAAATGGGACAGAACATAATGTTAATTTATTCTTTCTAATTTTTTTATAAATCAATTTATGAACCTTTTATATCGAATAATTTTGATAAATTTATTATATTTCATATTCGCAAATAATTATGTGTAGATCATACCAAATAAACTTTTAGTCGCGTGAATAAGCTTCACCGGCCCAGCGTTGCCGACTTTTACATATTTTTCTGTACCCAAAATATTTTAGGAATCAAAAATGAATTAATTATAAATATCACCATCGTAATTTTCAGTGGCGTTGCGTGAATTTTTGCTTTAGGCATGCACTACGAGGTAATAATAATATTAAAAAGCGTGAGCCCGCAGAAGGCGGATTTTTTTCGGTACTGGGTCCAATTTTCGCATAGAAATCGTTTAAAATCGTTAAAAAACAGCCCTGTCTATGAAAATATGATTTATTTAAAACTAACGTGTACTCGCGACTTTGTTCGCGTCGTAATCATTTGTAATGGTGATGATAAAGCAATACAAGAAATTCCATTAACATACAAACTGGATAAAATTTTCTCACATTTATGTCAGCATGAGAAAAAACAATATGGCGATATTATATTATTTTGGCAGACTAAATTACTCAACTTTTTGGAACACCCTGTATGATTTTTAAAAAAAATTCAAAATATGTAAAAAAAACAAAATAAATTATGCGTGTCCAAGCGTTTTCCCGAAAGACTAACCGTTTTTTAAATAACAAATATTGTAATATTTGAGGGGCGTTTTCACCCTCTTGGAATTTGAGATTCGAGAAACCCCCTTATAAACCTCTACACCCCACAGCCAATCCGTTTGCCAAAAATCACCTTTAAACGTCAAGCAGTTTAAGCAGAATCGTGATTACTCAATGGTCATATTTTATGAAACACCCTGTATAAATTTTTAAAAAATCTTAAAATATGTAAAACAACAAAATAAAATATACGTGTTTAAGAGTTTCTCCGAAAAACTCACCGGTTTTTAGAAGAAAATATATTCTAATATTTGAGGGGTAGTTTCACCCCCTTAGAATTCGAGTTTCGAAAAATCCCTTCTTATCGAACCTCTACACCCTAAAGTCAATCTGTTTTCCAAAAATCAGCTTTTTAGATCGTGATTAATCAATGACCAGATTTTTCGAAACACCCTGTATACATTTTTAAAAATCTTAAAATATGTAAAAAAACAAAATACAATATACATGTTTAAGCGTTTTTTCGGAAACTTGGTCGTTTTTTAAATAAAAATTATTGTAATATTTGAGGGGTGGTTTCACCTTCTTGGAACTAGAATTTCGAAAAATCTCTTCTTATCGAACCTCTAAACTCTAGAATCAACCTGTATGCCAAAATTGAGTTTGTTACGTTGAGTGGTTTGAGCAGGATCGTGATTAATCAGTATGTCAGTCACTTAAGGATTTTGTATATTAGTATAGATATTATATTCTTAAATTATTATAAATATATTAATATTTATTTACTCCAACAAAACTCACCTACTTAACAGCTCTTAAATAATATAAATAAACGGCAATTATTATCGCTTTCCCGTTCAAAATATTCTAATAAGGTTGCGTTAAGTTTTTTGCATAACTTAACTTAAACTGCTTCAGCATCTTGTACACTTCGCAATACAAGTGGTTCTAAAAAGAACAGTTTTCGACTGTAAGGTCTGCTGGTAAAAAAAAAATAAGCTTAAAGTATTAAAACACAATTTACTTAAACCGAAAACTCGTAGCAAAAAAAACTAAAGTTCAATGAGTCCAAATTTCAGGAAATAAATAGCAAAAATAGAAATTGCAAATAAAACACTAATTCACGAAAATACACCAAAACACTTTATTTTTGCACTGGACGCGCGTTTCGCTAATCATGTTAGCATCTCATTAGAACTCAGTCCGAATCATCTGCTGATGATGCTAACATGGTTAGCGAAACGCGCGTCCAGTTCAAAAATAAAGTGTTTTGGTGTATTGTGGTGAATTTGTGTTTTATTTTGCTATTGTAACACCAAAGGTTCCAACCCTGCACTGTAAAATTACGAAAATAAATAAATAGATGTGGCAACTTGACATTTTTTGCACCTCAATCGTCAGCGGGAAGTTTAAATTCCAATTAGTCGGCCCGATTCCGAATATGTCCATGGTTGGCAACAATGAATTTAATAATCGTGCCATCGATGACATAACTAAAACTTTATTTGGTATCTATTATAGAATTCCCGTTTTGATATATTTCCCTCATAATATGTTACAAAAACATTGTTTATTGTTTTAATACAAACAAAACTACTTAAAAATTTAATAAAAAAATCTTGTTGAGATCGCGCTATACAGGGTCCGGCAATAGTGCGTCGGGCATCTGTAGCTACTAGTATAAAAAACTTGGAAATTTTGATTAAGTGCACACCTAAAGTATGCACTAGGATGTCTTTCAGGGAAATATTTTAACTTCTATTCAGTTCATTTTAACTTCTAGGGTAGCTCAAAAAATTGTGAGTGGATCGGGATGATTTTCTTTAAATGGAACACCCTGTATAGCTTCCTTTTAGATCACTTAACATAATCCTAAGATATGAGTAATATATTTCGATAGTTTCAGAGATATTAACAAATAAATTAAAAATATATATTTTTCACCCTTGCTTAAAAAAATTATAAAAAAAGTAAAGCTATATAAAAAAAATTAAAGAAAATCATCCCGAATCCATATATGGATTCTTTAAAGGAGTTTCTGAAAAAATGGAAATTAGAGCATTTATTTGCTATATTTGAAGGTAAGAGACATTTACCTAATGCACCTGTTTAGATTATGCATGCGTGACTATAGATAGAATAAGAATATAGGTATCGCGATTTTTTTATGCAAATTATTACAAAAATTTTAGAATTTCAAGTGGTCGTATTAAAAAATTCAAAATGTGACCAAAACTTATAATTTTAATAATTTATTTGCTTTACTTTGATTAATCGTGATGTAACATTTTTTTGTAATTTGTAGAGTGATGAACCACCCCAAAAAATACAAAGGAGTGAAGAAGCAGAAATAACTACTATCGAGGAAAATAATATCACTTTACTTACTACAGACCAGGAAAACCTAAATTTATCAGAAAATAATATGCCTGTATATGATGTATAGACTTCTCTTAGATCAAAATAAATTTTAGTTGAGTCAATAGTATTCGCTATTGGTTTAAGAAAAGTGTCTCTTTAATCAAGAAATGTCCCTTTTCAATCAAGAATTTTTGCATGAATCAAAGAGACTATTGTTCTTGTAGCAAGAACTTCTTTGCATATTCATTTTGGGTCAAGAGTGAAATACTTTGGACAGATAGATTCTTCTATTCTCTAAAGTAATTTTTTAAAGCTTATGAAAAGATGCTTTGAGCAAAGAAACGTCGTTCTTGGCCCTATTGAAAAGCGCCAATCTTTTGGGTCAAAGTCATATTCATTTCGACTGAGACATCCTTTTTTTCAGTGTACAGATACCCGACGCACTATTGCCGGACTCTGTATAAAAAAATCACCTCTGGAACAGTAGTATTTTCAAATAAGTCCGATTCAGCGGTCTCCAGGATATCTTTTGCCGCAGGTGGCAGCGTGCCGGTTTCAATACCGTTTGCATTAACTGATTGGTCTGGCTTTTGTGATTCAGCTGCAGCTTTGGGTGGATTTGCATCTGACTGTTCGACAATAGCACTGGCTAAAAAAAACAATGAATTTGATACTAGGAAATAAAACTACCTTTTCGGAATGTTTTTTGTCAAACTTTTTTATATCTAGAATAAATATTAAACAATACAGAAAGATATAAATCATTGCATATCTAGACATGAGTTTCATTATTGCGAACATTTAAAAAATACTATTCTGCAAGTTGTTTGTATCTCTTAAAAGCTGATGATGAGAAAAATATCCTACAATAATAAGAGCTTTATAAATATCATTGAATTGATGATCTTCATAAATGATGGATACGCCTAGTCTAAATGACAAAAGAAGGTAAAGTAGAAGTGCAAGTAAAATATTTCGACAGACAATGACAGAAAAAAGCAGATGACGTCCGTACCAATCCATTTATTTAACTAAAAAAGGTTTCTAATATTTTTTATGTTAACAATGGATGAGTTTATAAAATCCGTCATGCGTCATCTCTTGTTGTTTTTAACCAGTTTTATTGGTTTATTTCAAAAATGACAGATCATATTTCAATAATATTGGTTTGACTGAGAGATGAACGACAAACGAACGCCAATGCGTGTGAACTCGTCTTAAGATTTTTGAGAGTTGTCAAACTCTTGCCAATTTATAGGTTATAATTTTGTGTCAAATTATGGTCAAATAGAAATAATGAAATATTTTGCATTTTGTATTTTGGACTGTGTTATTACGTGTGTTTCGTGTTTTTTAAAATTAAGTGGAGGAAAACTCGCGGGAAAATTAAGTGTTGACCCAGGCCATAGTTTACAGTTAATATTCGGTGCCCAGAGACCGCCAGAGACAGTTTGCCAGAGATTATGGCCAGAGAGATGTATTAGCCACAAATAACATTTGTGGAAGAAAAAAAAGGAGAGACCCCGAAAAATATGGTCAAAAAAATGGTTGCTTTTGAGAGAAAAATTTACACATATTAATTTGTTGAATGAATTGAAGTTGGAACCGGAAGATTGGTTTAATTATTTACGTATGGATGAAGCAACCTACTCCGAACTACTAAAAATTGTTCGAATCTCGGCCGGGACATAACTTTTTATTTAGTTTTTTAACTACTGTTGTATTCTATAGTTTATTTTTGTAGTATAAAAAAAGAACTATTTATACTGTTATTTTTTAATCTCCGTTATTAATATAAATTGATTGTTGGTACAATACCCCATTTAATATAAAATAATATTCTACTTTTTGAAATGTATCGGGCCCTAATTGTACCTAAAAGTAATAGAGTAGAGTCGGGGATTATGGAATACCATTTTTATTTATCCAATTATTTAAAAAAGTATTTGATAAAATATAAATAAAAAAATGACAATGGATTGGTCAAAGGTTTTATAACAACAACATAGAAAAAAAGTTTGTTTATAAAACAAACATAGAAAATTATTTCGCGTTAACAAAAAAAGTACATTTTTGCTTGTCGAAAAAAATGGTCGGGTAATATGAAATACGTGTATACGGTAATATGGAATAGTATCATATTTCACATAAAAAAAATTCTAGCGACAAAAATCGCAAATATAACAGTCACCGCGTTCAGTATCTGCGCATAATTCGTGTGCCCAGAGGTTGCATCGTAGGCACTGTATCCATATTTCTCCTTTTACGTCGGCCGTGAATCGTCCTGAACAGAAAATACATTCTGCATCAACTTTCGGCCTATCGCTCATATTTGGGAATTCTTCCTCATCAGTCGAGTCATTCAAGGATGGGATACTTTCATTTAAATCATCAGAGGATGTGTCTTCCACCATTTCCTTTCTTGCTTTTTTTCTATCATAACTAATTTTTGCGTCAACATTCATTTTGCTACTACCAGGTTTTGCACCGTCGACGGTTGGTTTTTTCTTTCCGTCGAACTCGACTTTTCTTTTAAATTTATTATTTTTATTTTTCGATGAGATTGACTCTTCCAGTTCATTTTTGTTTGGAGTCGTAGTTACAATTTTAGCTGTTCCCGATTTTCGACCTCTTACGCCTTGTCGCTTTTTGAGAACAGGAACTGGAACTATATGTTGTGGTAAAACCAGTTGTCCATTTGTCCTATCGCCGACATTTTCCTGGTCACGCGGTGGGTTTAAGCGATCTTCATCTTCAATGGCGCTTCATCTTTTCTTTGTGCTTCTACTAGAAAATCCTCTTCTGTAAATATATTTCTGTTTACTGGAAAAATACCTGTTTGCCGAAATCCATTGACTGCCCTTTCACCAGTTTGTATCTTCAAATAAGCTTTACCAAGCAGGTCACTGATGTCATATTGAGATATTGGACGGTTATTTTGCCTCAAAAATTGTCGAATTTCTTCATTGTAATAGGCTTTCAACGCTCCCATTACCGATTTGTCAAGCGGCTGCATTCTGTGTGTTGTGTGAGGCGGTAGGCACAATAAAGTTACGTGGTTTTCTCTAGCAGCAACAATAACTAAGTTCTGTGTGTGAGTGTGGTGCCCGTCCAAAATCAAAAGTACAGGGTTTTCGGCACTTGGTCTTACATAATTTATGAAATGATTAAACCACTGCGTGAATATGTCGGTTTGAATCCACCCGGATGGGTGAAAGGCAAAAATACTTCCCGGTGGAGCTCCCTTTTTTATTAGTTCACTTGTATTTTTGCGGGGGAATATAAGAAGAGGTGGCACATAATTTCCACTTGCACTCATACAAAGAACACAAGTCACTAGTGATCCACGCTCTGCCGATGTCAACGCTCCTATCTGTCGCTTTCCTCTTTGCGAAAACACCTCGGGACACTTTGACTGAACTATGCTTAGACCACTTTCATCAACGTTAAATATTTGATGGGGTGAAAAGAGCTTTTCTTCCATTTCTTTCTCCAACAAATCAAAAAACTCATCAACGTTTTTCTTGTTGAAGCCAAGAGCTCGTGCAAATGACGTTCCAGTCGGTTTTCGTAGGCTTAAAACCTGCTTGTGACGTAATCTAAATCGTTTCAGCCAGTCCTTTCTGGCCGATTTTTTGAGCAGCAAGAAAGAATTCGGAATGTTATTCCTTCTAGCTAACTGGAATGCGAGATTACAGACATCCCGTCTAGTTAACCCATAAAAGGGTTTCTCCATTGCCAGGCAATGCTTCATTAACTCCTTTTCTAGATGATCCGGCAAAATTGGTTTCCTGCCTAGTATTGTTTGGCATACCTCACCTGCAGCACCATCTTTCTTGCAACTTCTGAAAAGTGTTGCACGAGGGACATGATATGTTTTGCATGCCTTCAAATAGCCCATCTTTTTGCTTCTAACTGCCAACACCGCTTGTTTCATGTCTTCTTCGTTCCACTTTTTACGTTGTGGCGAGGTTTTGGTAGTACCTTTGTTCATTTTGTTATTATTTTGCGACATTTCTAGAATAAAAACCAATTTTGAAACTATATTTTTTGCGTCGGGTAATATGGAATACTATTTCATATTAACCGCCTTTTTAAATTTTGGCGGTTAGGTCAGAAAAAAATGCTGGGTTATTAAAATGAGCCGTAATCATATATTATTGTTTTCTCAGATCATTCATCTACCTAATTAAACAATAATACTGAATAAAATCACGCTCAAACTTGCCTAAAATAAAATTTTAATGTACTAACCTCAAAATTGCCGGTTCACCGAAATCACAACAACTGTAAAAACAACTTGGCGTTTAATTTCCATAGACTAAATATTCTAGTGGGAGAGCATCGCGTCTATTTGAATGATATTAGAGCAAATGGTCATAGATGGCGCTAATAGTTTAGCCAAAAATACGGTATTCCATATTACCGGATATTTTCCATAATCCCCGACTTTACTCTATATTTTTAGTGATATACCATATTGTAAACTATTTAATATTTCACTTAAAAAGTTAATTTGCATTGAATAATTGCCTACCATTAAAGGAAATTTGAGCTATATAATCCTTGATGGGCATATTCTGGGTATGCAAATACTTCCTCTATTTTTTTTTAAATAAGACGTAATGCAAGACTGAAGACCAATCAGACTCAACGTTTTCTTCGCAAGCAAGTTGGAACGCGAACGAAAAATCAACCCGCGGCTGATTGCGTTCAAGCCAGTCAATTGACGGTACACGATAAACAAAACGGACGACTTGATGCTTCACACACACCGTCTTGCATAGCAACTTAAGACTGTGCAAGCAAACCGGACGAAAAGCATGCGTGTCTGAGGCGGCCTTTATACAGGGTCCGGCAATAGTGCGTCAGGCATCTGTAGGTTCTAGAATAAAAAAATTGGGAATTTTGTTTAAGTGCAAACCTAAATCATGTACTAGGATGTATTTCAAGAAAATATTTTAACTTCTATAGGGTGGCTCAAAAAAGTGTGAGTGGATCGGGATAATTTTTTTTAAATGGAACACCCTGTATATTATTGCATTTTTGGCTTCCTTTCAGATCACTTTACATAAACCTAAGACATGAGTAAATATATTTCAGTGATTTCAGAGATATTAATAAATAAATAAAAATTATATATTTTAAAGCCTGTCTTAAAAAAAAATTAATAATACAAGAACTGTCCTGAAATCAAAACTGTATTAGATTTACTTTAGATGGTCTGTACTTACTTTGCTATAAATATGGAAATCGTAAATCGTACAGGATGTTCAAAATTCTACGCCAAACTTTCTAAAATATAAAATAATTTTTCTTCGATTTTTTTTAAATGGAACACCCTGTATATATATTTTTTCAATAGATGGAGAATTAAAAAATGAACATTTTTTGCATTTAAAGTATTTCAAAATTTTTAACGGTTTTGCAGATATTCCCGGTTTTATATTTCATATGGCATTCTCCACAGTAAATTTTTATCAAAGCCACCCAATTATTTTTCTCTCGTATTTTACCATTGAAAAGCGCCATATGAAATAATACTGCGTGTATCCGGAAAACTATTAAAAATTTTGAAATACTATAAATACAAAAAATGTTTATTTTTTAATTCTCCATCAAATAAAAAAATAATATATAGGGTGTTCCATTTAAAAGAACAAAGTAAAATTATTTTATATTATTGAAAGTTTGGCGTAAAATATTAAACATCCTGTATGATTTGCGATTACCATATTTATAGCAAAGTAAGAATGGACCATCTAAAGTAAATATCTAATATAGTTTTGGTTTCAGAACAGTTCTTGTATTTTTAATATTTTTTTTTAAGAATGGTTGAAAAATATATATTTTTGATTTATTTTTTAATATCTTTGAAACCACTGAAATAGATTTACTCATATCTTAGGATTATGTAAAGTGATCTAAAAGGAAGCCAAAAATGCAATAATATACAGGGTGTTCCTATAGAACTTAAAATATTTTCCGGAAATACCTACATTCTGGTACATACTTTAGGTTTGCACTTAAACAAAATTCTAAAGTTTTTTATTCTAGGAGCTACAGACGCCCGACGCACTATTGCCGGACCCTGTATATGATACCAAAAACTGGAGTATCTGTAAAATAGCAGCACACGATATGTAAATAATAATCATATTGAATAATTATATTGATAAATGTAACAATAAATGCAGGAAGTTGCTTGAGCTTGAAAGCCGGAAATCTTTTTTATATCTTTTTTGGTATATGGTGTTTTATTTTAAGTAAATCCTTGCTTGTTTTGTATTAACACATACTGTAATTGTTTTTAATAACTCGATTAGATTTTCTCAATTTTATACAGTTTTTTTCATAATATTTTGAAGTAATCACTTGTCACTGAAATTTTAAATATATTAATTTTCTGCTATGCGTTCCAATTGTACCAACTTATTCTTTGTAAAATAAAATAACCTAATTTGGAAATAAAATGACAGACACATCTATCACTGTCAAGGATCTTGTCGTTGGACAGACTATACTACAAACTGATCATTTTATATTGAGTCTATCATATATATAAATGAAACACGTTTAGATTGGAAAGTGCCCATAAGGACAATATATGGACTTATGTATTTGGGCGACTATGGGCGACTTATGTATTTGGGCGACTTCATTGGCGAAGTCATGACAATAATAGCGTAAGAATGGAAGAAAAAATTATATCGTCCAAAGAAGTTGGCTTATAAATGACGATAGATTACATTCCCCATGTAATTTTACTTAAAAAATAACAGCTATCTCCATTCCATAGCCATTGCTGATGTCTTTTTTTCGTCATATTTTACCTATAATATTTATTATATTGTTGGATCATAGTTAAAAACTCATCCCCTAGGTTTAACAGTTCTAATTCAATGTTGGAAAATATGTGGATTACTTTTTGGAAACCAATGTTTTATTCCACGGTTTTTGCATTTCATACAACACTTTTTAATGCCACATTTCCACAATCATCAGGGGTTTTGCGTAAATACAATTAAAATTAAACTTTCAAGATAAGTTGAAAAAGAAAGCTTTGTACACTTTTTGGTATATTTTAACAAGAACAGTTTAAATTTTTTATATTTTTTTTGGATTTCCTAACTTTTGAAGATACTGACTTTAACTATAGAAAATGCCAGGAATATTCTTTCTCTCCTCGTTTGCCGTTATTACTTAGGAACCGCTATAACAGCGATCTACTACATACAGCGCTCTAAGGCGATCCATAACAATTATTTTTAATTTTATTTTTCCATGAGGAGAGTTCTGGCGGGAAGCCGAGCATTCCAATCTATATTTATTTCTTTTATCTATCGTATATCGAAAGAGAGATACATGACAGTGACAGTTATTGTCTGTCATTTTATTACAAAGTAAATCAACTTTTTCTGTCAATTTTTGAATGTCGTGTCCAGCAATCCTGTCGTGTCTTCGAACAATAGAAGAGTTTAACCATTCAAATCTTATTTGTTTTTTTTTAACTGAATAATTCAAAAAACGTTGTATTTTTGGACTGTCTATCAAATTTTGACAGATTTTAAATATAAATCGCATAAATGAAGATAGGTCGAGTTGTACGTATGAAGAAGCTTATTAACGAACTTTTGCACTGTATTTCTGAAACGTAGAAATAGTGAACGTTGCCAAGCTTACACTTTTTTTATGGTTAGTATAGGATAATATTGCGCACTAAACATCTGCCTCTTACTTGTAAGCTCTTTTGCTATTGTTTGTTCCTGTTCTTGCTTCATGGTTGTCATCGCTCCCGGTGCGGAAGCTTCATTCTCTCTTTTCACGAATTCCTCTCTTTTAGGACTCAAATAGTACTCATTGGAAATTGGAAAACGATTGTAAGAATTTCGTAGTATTTGATCATTTTCCATGACTTGTTTACCTTTGTACGGATTATTTTGAACAAATCTGTAAATTTAGTTTATTAATTAGACTATTTAGAAAAAGGAGTAGGAACAAAAAAAAAATGTTAGTTTTCTAATCACCAACAAACTTCCCCTAGGAGATACAAGACCTTGTCGTTGGTGAGGCAACTCCTAGTCAGGTGCAAATACCCTCTAGCACTTTGGCTAGGTCTAAGAAGCATCTCACTCATCGTCTTGTCCCTGGCTGTAGTGCGTGACCAGGGAATTGCACCAAGACGCATAACAATACCGGACGTGGCTACCCTGTCCGTCATACTAGGCACCCCTTACTGCATATGGTCATGTCTCACGGGTAGAGGGCTTAGGGGTCTTGACTTAACCGCCCGGACCAAGAGGAGACAACGTCACCAAAAATCTAAATCCTACGATGATGGCGGGACCAGGTCAAAGGGATGCGTGGGATAGGAGACTAGTCTGGGGGCACCAGGGGGTTCCCCCTTATACACTCACCGGCAAAAAAAACCGGCCACTAAAAACTAGTCCCAATTTCAAAGTTGGATTTCTCGCGAACGACATTCATTAGATTTTGATGATTTTTTTTTAAATTGTAAATTAATTCCTTCTTAACGGATGCTACGTCAGCAATTTTTATTCCGAATTTATTTTAACCATATACAGGGCACAACAATAAGACGAAGTTTTTTGCCCAAATTTTGTAACACCCTGTAGGGTGCAGCAGCTGTAGTAGCTATTGCTAAATCAAATCACATTGTAGTCTCATCTTTTTTGAGCATTTTATTTTTTTAATCACGACATTATCTCTGTTTGTATTGGAGATACGCTGCTTTAAATCAAACGCCTTGAAAAAAGCTTTAAAATCAAATTAAACATCAAAACGTAGACGTAAACTAACTAAAGTTTATAGTATCTAGTGTCCACTTGCCTGGTGAAATTTCCCGTTTCCATATACCAATTCCAGGCATCCTGGACTGTTGTTCGAAATATACCCAGGGTATCGGAGACATAACGTTGACTTCGGCCATCCCCAATTAAAGCCACAATACGAGCAACATCCGTTACACATAATGGCATTTTTTAATTTGACAACCGTTTTTCTCATATTGCAAATACTCATAAATCCGTTTTCACCTATGTCGCCTTGATTATTTATACATAAAACTTTCTGCCTTATCCGAAATGAATTCTGAATTTTTCCGAGACGTTCGTTTTAAAACAGCATATCTCCAATACAAAAAGAGATAATATGGTGATTAAAAAAACAAAATGCTCACAAAAGTTGAGGTTACAATGTGACTTAATTTAGCAATAGCTACTACCGCTGCTGCACCCTACAGGGTGTCACAAAGTTCGGGCAAAAAACTTCGTCTTATTGTTGTGCCCTGTATATGCTCAAAATAAATTCGGAATCAAAATTTCTGACGTAGCATCCGTTAAAAAGGAATTAATTTACAATTTAAAAGAAAAATCATCAAAATCTAATGAGTGGTTCGCGAGAAATCCAACTTTGAAATTGGGTCTAGTTTTTAGTGGCCGGTTTTTTTTGCCGGTGAGTTTATTTACCCCTTACTTTTATATGCGGGTCTCTGAAGAAGTGGACTGACTCTTCCTAGCGACTCGTGGGAACACTATGATATCTAGTATTAAAAACACCACCGGTGAAGCTGTGGGGAAACCCCCTAGTGACACTGGGCCTAGGGACTTTCATCGTTAAGTGTTTAACGATGAAAGTCCCAAAGAACCAAACCCAAAGGAAACTACAGGAGAGGCCGCTGACACTTGCGCAAAACCATCCTCCACAAGTGACAAATAAGCTACCACCTTCTCCAGCAAGGATAAGAAGGCCCAACAAGCGACATAAGCTACCGTTTTGTCTACCCGGCCTGGGCCAACCACTAAGTAAACGATGGTGAGAACCTCTCACCTCTGCTCCGGTAAAGAGATGGAAAGTCAGGATGGAAAGCCGTCCAACACCGGTAGGAAAGCAGGGACTTATCACCAGTTTTGTCACTATTGCTGGATAAGTAAAAATGGTGGTATTGCCAAAGGATTACCCAGAGGCGGCATTAACTACCGAGCAGCAAACGGCTCTGGAAGAGGCGATACTGGACGAAGCAGTGGCGACTGAAACACAATGCTCTACAAAATGTGGGTCAGCTGCGATTTGCGGGGATACACTTTCGTGTAGGCATGATCTTTATAGATAGTGCATATCAAGAAATTGGTTGGTGGAAACGGTAGCTAAACTTAAGAGTCGGCAGGGACCGGGACTGGTTGCACTGAAGGGAGAAAACATCCTTAAAGAGGCGACCATCACGGTCTTTCTGCCGAAGAGCAAAGGGAAAGACAACATCTACCTGCCGTGCCTTATCCAGGCCCAAAAATCCAATGTAAAGACATCGTGTTGGCGAGTCATCAACTCGAGAGAGGAGGGCCATGGTCAGGTCCTCACAATAGGTCTCAAATCCAAGGAGGCAATGGAGAAAGAGGGAGATGTCCTCTATTATAGATTCGGGACAACACCGGTATCAGGTCTAAGATGAAACCAAGCTAAACAGGTGGAAAAAAATGGAGACAGATCCTCCCGCCTCTACCTCACGGGTACCTCAGCCGGAGGCAAGCTTCTCGACTGTGAGGGGCATGGAGGGCCAAACCCCAACCATGGAAGGGTGTATATCCCCGGAGTTGGTTGACGGCCACTTCTCGGAGAAGGAACTTCAGTTGTCAGAGGTGGATGGGAAATACCCTCTCCCCCCTGCAACGGGAAAATCCCCACATACTCCAGAAACCTAAAACCAACCAAGTCCAAAGTCCTACCCCAGACCCTCTTCCCACCCCAAACATATTCTTCCTTCCGTTCCCCCCACGCATGGGATATCCCAAATAAATCTGCACCATGAAAAAGGGTCTTCTGCCACAATAACAAGACTCTTTCAGAAAAATCAGCATGTAATGGTACTAGTCCAGGAACCCTGGGTGTATCAGGGACAAATTAAAGCTTTGGCTGGAAAAAATTCAAAGGTAATATATGATAACAGGCAGGAATTTCCTCGAGCCTGTATTCTTATAACATTACAACATTAACTACACATGCGTTTCAGAATTTACAATCCGAGATCCAAACATAATTCAACTCAATATCGAGGATTGCAGCAAAAAGATCGTGATTGCCTCTGCATATGTTCCGGGTGACGCGTGACGCTGACGGGGAGACACCGCCTCCGGAAGTACCGAAGCTCGTGCGATTCTGCAGCCAACGGCGACTACCTCTGCTATTGGGATGTGAGTCCAATACGCACAATGAGGTATGGGGAAGCACTAATACTAAACAAAAACACTAGAAGTGAGTGTTTACTTGAATTCCTCTTAGCATACAACCTGGAAGTTCTTAGTGTAGGAAGCACCCGCACGTCCGTGACAAAATCACGGGCAGAAGAATTAGATTTAACAATCGGGAGTGCTAGTGTAATTAGTTACGTGAAATATTGGATGGTCTCTTATTGAACCTTCCCTATCACATTACGGAATCATTGAGTTCAAATTAGGAGGAATCATATTCCAATTTTGCGCCTTTTACGCTCTTCTCATTATTTAAGTAGGTATTTTTGAAATTGTTTAGGATATGTATTGCACATTTAAATGTATTATACGTTTGAAATTCATATTATACAAAATAGAGAAAATTGGTACTAACCTGGGCCATCTCTGAAATTCTGGATTATATCTAAGAAATATATCTTGTTTCTCTTCGGCTGTTAACGGTCTGTCATTCAAATGATGATGCGGTTTCCTAAGATGTTTGTTTGGCAGTGCATAACCTGGTAATTTTAATTAGATGTTCACTAGTATCTGATATACGGTACTAGTATCTGATATACACACGATATATATATGAACACGTTAAAGCATTTTGAACATTGTTTAGCCGTAGGATGTGATAATTTGCAATTTCTTTAATTGCCATTTAAGTCAGGGGTACTTTAAACATTTGTCTTTCTAAATATACACCACCTTAATTTTTCGAAATAAATATAATTTAAAGTAAAAAATGTCTATATCTATGTGGCGGATTCATCTCTCCAAAAAAATCCTCTATGGGTATTTCGCCACTGCAAGAAAATCTACAAAATAAAATAGTTATTTTTTGTATTTCTGTAAATACTACTGCGTTAATCCAATGGAGACTACTTGTCAGCAGTTAGGTTTACTAATAAGCAAATTTGTCTAACGAACAAAAAAAATGCTTAACACTTCGGAAATTTTATCTCTCCGTCGTCAGATGCAAAAAAATACAAAGGAAAAAAACCAGAAAAAAACTATTTAAAATATTTAATCTACAACAATGTCATTATGACACATTTAACATTGTCATTTGGATATCATTATGGCTGTCATAATAGCACTAATGCTATTATGAAATTCATAATAACACGCAAATTTTATAATAAGAAACAAGCAAAAAAAAGGTACCTAAATACGTTTATTTATTGTAAACATTAATTATAATATCAGTACAATTGGTTAAATTAATTCCAGACGATGACAGGTGAGTTGAATTTTTAGAAAGTAAATTTATTTCCTGAGTGCTTGAACTTGTTGAAAACCCATCATTGCCAGAAATGTTACCCAAAATATTATATGACACTTTTTTCTTATTTTCTTTGGAATTTTCTATATAGCTCTATGTCACTGTTAGAGCGCCAACCACCATGTCTTTTAACAGTTAATAAATCCACTCCTGAATCTGCAAGCAACGACGCAGACGATCTACGGAAACAATGTCCAGTGTATTGTTGTGGATTTGGAAGACTTACGAACAATGCTATTTTATACAGCATTTTCCCTAAAGTATTAATGCCAACGGGTTCCTTAATACATTTTCCATTTCTGTTGCTTGGTCGCATTGCTATATATCTTCGAACCATTTCCACCATATTTATTTACATACAACATTCAATACAACAATTCCTTCAATATCCGAAGGGACACTTTCAGAATCAGAATCACCCATATTAATATTATTTTTTGCTTTTTGCTAAAACTGAACGTTTAACACAAAATTGAACATCAATAATTGAGTTGTCAAAGTCAAAATGGAAAAATCAACAAGCACGGTTACCACGGCGTCGACTAATATGGGCACCTGATAATTTTGAATTTTAATTTTTATGAGAATATCTCTGAAATTTTAAATTAAATCAAATCTCTTTGGATCGTCTCTCGTGTCGCGTCGTAGATTAAATTTTGAATGATACACGTTCGATACGAACTTTTTAATGGAACTTGTGTAACTAAGCCACTCGGCTAACGCCTCGTATCTTAACGTTACACGCGTTTCATTATGATGTTCGTATCGAACTTGTATCATTAATAACTATAAATGCAACTATTCGAGAACACTTTATTTTTTTTAAAACATATACGTCTACAAAAACTGTTGACGTTTTGTTAAAATGACATTATATCAAGTTAAAATTGCATTGCATTTTATAATTTTGGCGTTGTTAAAATCCATTCTGTGCCCTGTGTCGCATGAATGCTGACAAATCTTAGAATTGTGAAAGTCGTCCTTCATTAAATAATATAATCTTTATGTTCTTTAATTCGAACATTTAAGGGTCTAGATGTTTCACCAATATAAAATTTATCGCATTCACATGGTATTTTATGTATTACATTTTTTGTTTGTTGTTCAGTATAGTTCAGTTTGTTGTTCATTGGTTTAGTGTGTGATAAAATGGTTCTAAGTGTATTTTGAAAGATGTTCGTATGTTATATTGTTTTCCTATCCTTATTTTTTCCGAAATAGAATTGTAAGTTGTATATATTGTGTATTGTTATCATTGTGTGTATTCTGACTATGATTTGGGGTTTGTTTTTCGTTTAATGTTTTGTCAATAAAAGATGGTGGATAGTCGTTTTTTATTAATGTATTTTTTTCCGAGGACGGAAATAGACAAACTTTCCGAAACGCATTTTTTTTGTTCGTTAGGCAAATTTGTTTATCAGTAAACCTAACTGCTGACAAGTAGTCTCCGCTGGATGAACGCAGCAGTGTTTACAGAAAATAACTATTTTATTTTGTAGATTTTCTTGCAGTGTCGAAATACCCATATAGGATTTTTTTCGAAAAATAATTTAAAGTGTCCTTTTAATACGTATGGGCTAAAATTGTATTACCTTTTACACTTCCTTGAGGTTTACCGGGCTTCTTCTTTTTCTTCATTTTAATTTTCTTAGATCCAGCACTTTGTCCTCGGTGTGCTCCAACTTTATTGTGGTTCTTTTTTGACCGATGCAACTTTTTTAAAGACGATTTATCGTGATCGTTGAGCGGTTCTATAACCCAAGCTTAATTAGGTTTAGCACATAATTATAAAACATTCTTTATATTTTTTATGACATGAAACTTAGAATGAGCAATATGTTGGTTGAGATGCTTTACCTATTTCTGAATAATTATATTGATCGTCATTTTCTTCTGTTGTTTTATGTAGATTTACTTTATCTTTATCTTTTTCCTCGTGAGGTTCTGCCTCTTCTTCATCTCCATAGTCATCTTCTGATTTCATTTTCTTCCTAATGCCTGCAATTAGTTTTGAAAATTTGAAAATTAGTTTTCAAAGATTTCAAATATAAAGTCCCCTTTACCTATCATTAATAAAATTTTAGAAAATATCATAGTTTTAGAAAAATATCTCTTGTATAAAAGTCATATTATATTTATACTTTTTAGTAGAAAATTTTCTATTCTATTGAGAACTTACCTGCGTTATCTTTAGCCGTATTCATATCACTGCTCATATGCTTATTTATTTCACTATCATCAATAACTTCGGGGTTATACTCGTAATCTAAAGAACTTAACTTCCTTTTCATATATCCCACTTGAAACGGATCATAATAGTGGAACATATATTCTGGAATTGGAACTTCCCTATCCTTTCTATTTTTGTGTTTACGTTTCTTTGACTTTTTTTCTTTTTTCTTTACATGTTTATATTTTAGTGCTGCCTTCTTATCACGAACTTCGCCATTTTTCGTTAAATCTTCATAGTCGTCTTGTGATTGAAGGCTATCCAATAGTTCTGTAAAATGAATTCAATGAACTAATTACGCACATATATTATTTCATAAAAAAGTGAAACAAAAATATATTTTCTCACAAAAAAACATAAATGAAAAAAAATAGTCCTTTGCAAAATTTAATGCTCGTGAGATTTTTTGAAAAATATGTTAGGAACAGCCTCGTGCAACTCCTGCAATCGGAACACACGATTACTGAAACACTCAATAATCGGAATCGGAACACCCCAGTTGCCATGTTATAGTCGGAACGCTACCTCTTTAATTGGCACGTTCCTCTAAAGAAGTGTCAATTACGTAACATGGTGTCTGTTTGCTCCTTAGATCTTATAAACTTCGTGGATAAAGCTACGCCACATGTATATTGCACATGACTTTGTTTATGGGACTTTCCCTTGCATTTTTTTTTATTTATTTCTTTCTAGAACAAGATTATCGTATAAGTCTATCCTTCTCTCAGAATACGCTACTGAGCATGCACAGAACGATATGGAGCTAAAACGGCCTACACACATAACGATTTATCGTACTGCATGCAGTACGATATACTTATCGATATCCATCGAAACTGCCGCATTAACGATAAATCGTAGCGTGTGTACGGAAATTGGATGGTTTGCAGTATGCAGTCGTCAAATCGTTTGCAGTACGGAGCTTCCGTAAAATATCGTATCAACGGGTCATGTCTGGGGTGGGGTTTGAACGGAATTCTGAAAGTGTGGAGTGTATTCCCTGCCGCAGCGCGCAGTTACGATATAATTTTTATTTATTTTTGGTTTAATCAATATTATGGATTTAAAAAATAAGACGTTCTGGGAAGACTTTATTGATTTATTTAGAGAAAATAGATGCCTATGGGATGTGAAATCAAAAGATTATGCAAATAAAATGAAAAGAAATTCCGGTTATGAAATTTTGTGTATTATTATTTTTTTCTGAATATTTCTTTCTCTCCAGAAACCACTTTTTACACCATTTTCGCTTTTTGATTTCTTTTTGTTCATCATCTTCATCTATCAGCAATACCGCAGCTACAAGCACGGCACCTTTCTTCTTTGAAATTCTTGACATAACGGTAGCCCTTCTCGACGAAAAGTGAATAATCTGAACTGCGGCAGTACAATGTGTTGCATCGTGTGGACAAAAAATGGCTGTACTGCAAGCCTTACGATTTTCTTTACGATCTGTAGTTCAACGAGCAGAACGATAAATCGTTACGTGTGTAGGCCGTTTAACTTGGAGAGTTTTTTTGCTGCGTTGACAACAATTACTAAAAATATAGACCATTAAAATTTTTTAATCAAGATATAACTGGTACGTGAATTTATTATTTTGAAAATATTTCTAATATTATTTCAATATACTTTTTATATACATTTTAAACAAAAATTAAATCATATAATGATGAATCCTTTTTTAAAAATGTTTTAATACACTACTTTGAAAAATACCTATTATGAATGAGCAACACGAGGGGAATAGAAACAGTAACCGGGGAAATATTAAAATATGTTTTGACATGGAAAAGTCGAAACATATTTTAATAAAAAAATTAATTAATGTTACTTTGTGTGCTTTTTGTATACTGTTTGACCCGTGATAATAAAGAGTTCATTTGGATTTTCGACGATATTTAAGTTTGTTTTTGTAGTGTGATAAAGTTAGTGGATAAATAGACATTATGACTAATAAGAATATCATATATGTGAAGCTGTCCGCAATAGGAAAAATCTTATCCTTAAAAGAACTCCACAACACTAAAAGTATGAAAACCTCTGAAGTAGGTATGTTCCATATTCTCAAAAAGCAAGGTAGGTATATGTTATTTAAAATCGTTTTTTTAACCGACTTTTATTGAGCGAAATATGCAGGGTGTCTTAAATAAGTCCAAATATTTTCAGGGGTGGTATATTTCGACCCCAGGAACATGTCTATGAGGTTTTAGGATAAGGTTTTATATTTGTGGAAAACAGGTTGGCGTTATTTTTCTAATGTGGAACTTCTGTAACAAATAACTCTGAAAGTAATATGTATTATTATTCCATAATGTGTTCTTTTTTTATAAATTGGATTAGGATCGAAAGAAATCAACAGAAGTCCTTTGTTTTAAATTTGTCGACGTTTCGCAAAATTTATTTGCATCTTCAGGACACTACAAAGTTAAGAGAGCAGAAAACACAATCAAATAAAAGTTTTTTTTCAAAAATTTAATAAACAACCCAAAAACACATATCAGTGGAATTACACACATATACAATTGGTAAACTACCCTAATGTTAACAATTAAATAAAATATATGTATATGTTACTCACATTTAAATCTGGACTTTCTTAGTCATATCCATTAATACACGGATGGTATAGAGGGGAGTGGTATATATCCCTTTTTTCCTTTTAAAACACATAACACACTTACATAAAAAAAAACATATAACACAATTATGTATAGAGAAATATCACGAAAATCTTTTCCTTTCACAGACAAGCAGTGCAGATGTACCTACGTTGACCGTATACAGAGAGCAACTAATTCTAGTTGATAAAATACTAATATAATTTTTACCTGGAGATAAAGAACAGTTGAAAAAAGAAACATATAAAAATATTATTTGGATTTAAACCATTATTTTGAAGTTATATTATTTAATTTTTGAAAGAATATTAAAATATGCTGTACTCAGGTTTTCTACGTCTGTTCTTTTATTAACGCAATTTTTGTTTTTTTGGATTTCTATCATCTCTGCAAATAATCTTTTCTTATAATTAGATTGTGTTTGTAAAATAGTGGTATTGTCAAAATCGAAGTTATGGCCTGTCTCTATTTTGTGTTCTACTAATGCGGTAGGATTAGATTTCAAAAGAAAGTTCCTTTGATCATTTTTATGTTCATTCAATCTTTGTTTTAAATATCTACCGGTCTGCCCAACATAGCTTTTAGGACATTGAGTACAAGGAATGTTATTATTATGCCGGATTTCAGTTGTTTTTTGAAAAAGAACCGTCTCTTTATGGTGTTATGACTCCTTGTTGTAATTTTTATTTTTTCCTGTTTTTTGTAGTATGACCCTTAAATGTGTTTTTAATTTGTTCTGACAGACAGTCGATATAAGGTATTTTACAATAAACTTCTCTATCATTTTGGTTAGTAGATTTTACAACGGTTTTCTTGTTAAGAATTTTTTTAATCATAGATATTGGATAATTATTTTTAATCAACATGCTTTCGATATATTTTAAATTTTTATTATGAAAATTAATTGATGATAGTGATGTAGCTCTGATTTTCAGGTTATTAATAACATTAATTTTTGTTTCAAAGAATGTTCGGAAGAATAATTGAAATCTCTCAGAGAATGTCGGCTTGTGATACCAATCTGTCTCTATTAATTGATTGTGTCTAATTAGTCTCACGTCAAGGAATGCTATGCTGTTGTTTATTTTTTTTGTTCTTGATTAATAGGAATTGAAGTTATAATATCATTAAATATTAAATAATATAACTTCAAAATAATGGTTTAAATCCAAATAACATTTTTATATATTTCTTTTTTCAACTGTTCTTTATCTCCAGGTAAAAATTATATTAGTATTTTATCAACTAGAATTAGTTGCTCTCTGTATACGGTCAACGTAGGTACATCTGCACTGCTTGTCTGTGAAAGGAAAAGATTTTTCGTGATATTTCTCTATACATAATTGTGTTATATGTTTTTTTTTTGTAAGTGTGTTATGTATTTTAAAAGGAAAAAAGGGATATATACCACTCCCCTCTATACCATCCGTGTATTAATGGATATGACTAAGAAAGTCCAGATTTAAATGTGAGTAACATATACATATATTTTATTTAATTGTTAACATTAGGGTAGTTTTACCAATTGTATATGTGTGTAATTCCACTGATATGTGTTTTTGGGTTGTTTATTAAATTTTTGAAAAAAAACTTTTATTTGATTGTGTTTTCTGCTCTCTTAACTTTGTAGTGTCCTGAAGATGCAAATAAATTTTGCGAAACGTCGACAAATTTAAAACAAAGGACTTCTGTTGATTTCTTTCGATCCTAATCCAATTTATAAAAAAAGAACACATTATATATTATTGGATTGACAACAATAAAAATTATATTATTCCATAAAGTTTTTTTTCTTTCTTGGGTATGAGGTTTTTTAATTGACAGTTTATTACTTTTTTTATGCGACGTTTCGCTCCAACAATGTGGGCTTTTTCAGGCACTTTATTCTAAAAACTTGAAGTCGTCTTGCTAGCACCAGTCTGTATCAAATTTCTGTCTGTATAGAATCAAAAGTCTGTATAGAATTTTATACAGACTGGTGCTAGCAAGACAACTTCAAGTCTTTAGAATAAAGTGCCTGAAAAAGCCCACTATGTTGGAACGAAACGTCGCGTCGCATAAAAAAAGTTTTCTATCTTTCAATTATAAAACCTCATACCCAAGAAAGAAAAAAACTATATGGATATAAACTAATGGTTAAAGAAAGAAGAAACAATTAAATTATTATTCCATAAATAACCATAAGGTTTTTTGCACAATACAATATGCAGAGCCTATACGGGTGATTCCTCTAAGTAGGTCATGCTTTCGGGAAATGATGGGGGACGTCGAAATATTAACTTTGATGCACACTATAGGTCGGAAATGCCTTTTACGCTAGAGACAGGGTGTTAAAGTTTTTGAAAAATTAAAGATATTCTTGAATAGTTTTTTAACAGCTGAAGGTATCGTTATAAAATTTTATTATAGGAGTCCACCTATAGTAAACGCCACGAATGTTTGGGAGTGATTCATCGGTCGCTACCATGTGAACTAATCTGTTCAAGGTCACATAAAACTTAATTCCAGTGCCGTGGTGTTTCAAGTCATATAATAATCTGTTGTAATTTGTTGTTTTAACTGTCAAAGTCTTGTCAAAACATATATTTGGTTATAAATATAAACTGGAATGCCCCATTGGTCGCACTGCAAGCACACCAATGGACTGACGCACCAAAACGAACCAATCAAAGAAACGCGATATAGTATCGTCTTTGTCAATCACGCTAACATTTTAGAATAAGTAGGAGGAGCGCAGGCAGATGATCAGACCGGGCCTTTAAAACCTACGTCTGCGGTAAATATTTACGTTTTTAATGTAAATATGATAGCGCGCGTGTCGATTCTAACTTCATCAAGCGATGAATCACTCCCAAACTTTCGTGGCGTTTACTTTAACAGAGACACTTTAAATGTAAAAACAAGAGGTTTTAGTTTCAAGCAGTGGCGTAGATGTGACCATACCGGTATGGTAGGCTATTAAGATCGGCAAAAAAAAGTTTTTTTTAATTTCACTCAAAATGAGTTATTTGGGACATAAATGACCTAAATACAAAATATTTTCATGGGGTCTGTCCGTCTGTAACACGATAACTCAAAAACCGCTAAACCGATTTTAACCAAATTTGGCACAAAAATACTGTGGCACCCGAGAATCTGGCCATTAGTTTTTGGTGGGGGTGGGGGCTTGGTAAGGGGGTATGGGAGGGGGTTAAAAATTTTAAAAAATCGTAACTCCAAAATTACAGTAGCTAGCGAAACCTGGTTTTCAATTTAAGATTAGGAATAATATTTGCTAATAATAATAATTTGTAATAACATCAAAATCAGTCAATGTCGCAGTTTTTGAGATAAAAAAAATTGGAAAAATTCCTTTACTTTGAAACTAGAATAACAGCCTACCAACCTATTAACACATTTTAGTAGGAGCGGCTATACGTGCCTCCCGGTGCCGATTTTTTCAAAAAAGAATAGTACGCCTCTGATAAAAATAAAAATTTCGGAGTTTTTTTATTTACTCGGTTTATTTCCAAAAAAAATGTGAATGAATGAATTTAAAAATAAATATTTTTCTTTTATGAGAACCTTAAGTATAACGAATTATTATAACTACCTTAAAACTAAGAATTTTGTAATTAACAATAAAAAAAATCGAGTTTAAATTTATAATTTTTTAAAAATTTATTTAAGGAACTAATAGTAAAAAGTACTAAAGTTACCCAAGCTGCGTAAATCTCTGTATGCATATGTATTTCTGCCCTATAGTTTTATTTTATTTATTTTTCTGCCCTATATTTAAGATTCTCATAAAAAAAAAAATATTTTTAAATTGTGGCAAAATGGTGTTAGGTAGGGGAAAGATGCAAGAGACATTTTTTCTTGGAAATAAACCGAGTAAATAAAAAAAAACTCTAAAAAAATTATTTTTATTAGTGGCGTACTATTTTTTTTTGAAAAAAATATCCGATGCGTATCACATCTACGTCACTGGTTGAAACTAAAACCTCTTTTTTACATTTAAAGTGTCTCTGTTAGGTAGACTTCTATAATAAAATTTTATAACGATACCTTCAACTGTTAAAAAAAACTATTAAAGGATATGTATCTTTAATTTTTCAAAAACTTTAACACCCTGTATCTTGCGTAAGAATTTCCGACCCATAGTGTGCTATATCAAAATTAATAATTCGACGTTATCTATCATTCCTCAAAAGCATGACCGACTTACAGGAATCACCCTGTACATTCGTTAATCAGAACGATTTGCTCATCGGAATATGTTGTTACAATTAGCTGTTCCGATTAGAGAAGTTGCAGTGTATTGAGGTAAATCTTGTATTGAAGATCGAATTAAGAACCTTTTGTGTCCCGAATTATATTTTCTTGATCATTACTATCGAACCCGGTGAGCAAGTTGGGATCATAATCATAATTGACTGATTTCAGAGTCCTCTGATTTAGCGACGGGATAAAATCAAACGCTTCTTCTGGACCATCGTCACGATAAAAAGATCTAGCGAGTCGCTCTTCACTGGGCACTTTCGTTCTTGGCTGATGTTGTCTAATGTGTTTTCTTTTGTACTTTGGTACAGGTGGAAGGTGTTTCTTGTCCCTCGTCTCGCTATTTTCATTTTTAGAAGACTCTATTAAATATTACACCATTATTAATTATTATATTTTATGGATTTATTTATATATTATTAAAACCTCTTTTTTCGGTTGCTAAAATTGCTTCATTCTCGTGATCTGTTTTCTTGTGTTTTTTTACTTCTTTCGAATATTCTTCTTCATCTTCCTCCTCTTCTTGATTTTCATTATTTTCCGCATCATTGTTTTCTTCCACTAAAATATTTTCACCTATAACAACATTAATTACTAAACTAGATTTCTAATACTGCGTCACTCTAATGACAAAATGTTAGCTGTACCTACTTATTATTTAGCATAATATCTTGAATTTCAAAGTTGTAATAATTAATGTAGTAATTAATGTAGTAATAATGATTTATTTATTTAAGAGCTAAAACAGTAAATGTTTTTGGTGTATTATTTTACTTTTCTGATTCAGTAAAGAACTATCTAGATTTTCCTGCAATAAAATCTCCACAAAGGTATAAAAATAATATAACTTTAATTCTAACAAGTTTGAATGGGATGATTGTTGACATTTTTAAAGAGCTAAATCTTAAAATTGGAGTTATTATACAAGGTGCTACAAATCGAGGCACGAGCATTGGTATCTCGGAAACCGTAATAGATACGAAAATGGTTAAATTCATCAAGATGCCACTAAAAAGTTTTAAAAATTTCAAGGATTGCTGAGTTTTTTCGAAAAAACGGATTTTTTTGAAAATCATTTTTATTTTTCCCTGTCATTACTTTTTAGAAAATCAAAAAACGAATTGCACATTCTCATAGCCACTTTATTAGGGCTATATGATAGTATTTTCAGATTTTCAAATTAGTTGATAATTTCTGAGATACAGAGGCCAACTTATTTTTTTTAAATAGGGACCTGCATTTTTTATTTCATGTTTTGAAAGAACTCGGTCTCCTGAGTACAATGATATGCCACACTTATTTTTTTTTTGTTTCGGATATTTGAACACAATTTTTTTAAATTAATTTCAAGTCCGACACTGTTTTTTTTTTAATATTTAATCTATTCATCGTTACAATATTTATAAGCTTTCAAACTTAACAATGCCGTGGGGTAAAAAACATCGAATACGGAAAATCAAATACAATAAAATAATAAAAAATAAATAACATAAACAATCAAATCATTTCCCCGGAAGGTGGATTGCAAATGGCCAACATTTACAATAAAGAGTACAAAAAAGAGTGCATTCGAAAGTATAAGAAGAATATATGTTCAAAGAGTTATAAATAAGATTGAACAAAAAATAAATTTGTGCATTAGGGAGGGTGGTAACCCTTTCGAACATGTAGAGCATTAGAAACTAGCTTGTAGAAGTTGATTTATTTATAATAACTACAAGTAATATTTTGTATATTATTAGATCGTACATTGAGATTTAAAATTCACACAAAAAGTTAAAAATAATATCTTTAAATTGCTGACCTGAATATTAAATAAATAATAAATATAAAAAATAATAAATTAAAAATAGAGTCGGACTTGAAATTAATTTAAATAGTAGTAATTAAATAGCTTTGTTATAGTTAAGGTAACCAAAACAAAAAAAAGTATCAAGTGTGGCATATCATTGTACTCAGGAGATCGAGTTCTTTCATAACTTGAAATAAAAAATGCAGATCCGTATTTAAAAAAATTAAGTTGGCCTCTGTATCTCACAAATTATCAGTTATTTTGAAAATCTAAAAATACTATCAGACAGCTCTAATAAAGTGGCTATGAGACTGTACAATCAATTTTTTGATTTTCTAAAAAGTAACGACAGGAAGAAAATAAATTTTATTTTTTTAAAACTCTGTTTTCCCAAAAAAAACTCAGCAATCCTTGAAATTTTTGAAACTTTTTTGATAGCATGTTGGCAAAAAAGAAAGGCGCAACTTTGCCCCAATTTAACCATCTTCGTATCTATTACGGTTTCCGAGATAGCAATGCTCGTACCTCGAATTTGTTGCACCCTGTATAGGTATAGTTTGATAAACGGAACTGAAACAACAGGGCATCGGTAAGTGGAACGTAACGGCCTCTCATAAAACATAGCTGTTTTATTTTTTCTATTCATGCGTATACGTCCAGGTGCTTGCGGTGGTTTTTCGAAATAATATATCACTAATTTCTCTAATATTTTCATTAAATATTATATAGTTTTACTTTAAATGTATCTACATTGTAACGTTTTTAATTCGTTACCTGTTTTTTATACCCTGTTGGTCATCCAAACTATGTGGTCTGGATTTTAATGCGTGTGAGAATAATATAAATAACCTGTTGACAGACAAAGAGACAAAATCAAAAGCGGCATACAGTGTTGCCGGTTTTTTACGTTTGTAGGAAAATGTGTGTAGAAAAATATAAGCTATTTTAAAAACTTTCATGTATACTACTGAAATGAAGGTAATATATCTAAGGTCAATATTATATATTACAGGCTGTAGTAAAATGAGTAACTAATAGTGAAAAGTAAAGTTCTAACCCTAGATGCAACAATTTGTAAATGCCTACTTGTGCGGTTTGAAATTTTGATGCAAAATCCGGCAATACCGCATAGAAGAAATGTATTGACCCAATCTTTATCTCTTTTTAATACATTTGATTTTCCATTAAGCTGTCTACATTGCTGTACTACACGTTAAAATCCAGATTGCGCAGTCTCGATGACCATAACGGTATATGATCTAAGTTGGTCATTTCTGATCCAACCCTGGTAGTTTTGAACTACTTTGCCTAGTTTTGGCTATAACTTTCTCTTGTTGGCAACATTAATACTATCGTCATGTTTTGCGTTTTATTCCACTCCAGAATGTTTAATAGAGGAAAAGGCGGACGTATTGACCATGGAAACCCTCGAAATATTTTGAGGTGAGTTTATAGAAAATTTTCGAATATAGGTTTTAATTTTTATAATGTTCCATAGGGTCTCTTGAGGAAAATAGTTCTTCCCTTAGGAACATAAAGCTTAATGTGTTCCTCAGAGACATGCTTATAGGATTATATTTATTATTGTTGGGATTTATATTTTATATGGAATTTTTCACAGCAAATATTTATCAAGGCCACTCAATGATTTTTCTCGTTTAAAGTATTTTATACGTATTTTACCGGTGAAAGAGACATATGAAATAACACTGCGTGTATCTGCGAAATCATTAAACATTTTGAAATACTTTAAATAAAATAAATGTTATTTTTTTAATTATATATCTAATAAACTAAGTATATACTGTGAAGCAATAGATGATGCTGAACACACGATTTTTGTCTGCCCTAAATGCCACGACTCAAGACAGATATATGAGAAGGAACTGGGGAGGCGGTTTACTCTGGAGAACTTTGCGTTGGACATCGTGGGAGAAGAAAATGAATGGAAGATGACCTATAATGTTGTACGGATGATCATTAGCATCAAGGAACAGGTAATGAGAACTTTGGGACAAGTAGAATAGTAAGCCAGCTACCACGTTGAAGTAATGCGAGAGCAGTTCCAGCGTGGAGCATGGATTGGCAAAGGGGGGTTTTAGTCGGTAAAAACCCGACACGGCCCACGACTATCCAACATCGGGTGTCTTTTGAAGATTTTCCCCTCCATATAAAAAAAAATAGAAAATATCTAATAAAAAAATAATATACAGGATGTTCCAGTGTGTGGCGTAGAATTTTGAATAACCTGTATGATTTAAGATTACAATATTTATAGCAAAGTAAGTATAGACCATCTAAAGTAAATACCTGATATAGTTTTGATTTCAAGGCGGCTCTTGCATTTGTAATAATGTTTTTAAGAAAGGTTGAAATATATATATATATATATATATATATATATATATATATCTCTTATTTATTTATTAATATCTCTGAAACTATCGAAATCTATTTAATCATATATTAGGATTATGTAAAGTGATCTGAAAGAAAGCCAAAAATGCAATAATATAAAGGGCGTTTCATTTAAAATAATCATTCTGATCCACTCACACCTTTTTCAGCCACCCACTATAGAAGTTAAAATATTTTCCTAAAATACATCTTCGTACATACTTTAAGTTTGCACTTAAACAAAATTCCTAAGTTTTTTATTCTAGGAGCTACAAATGCCAGACGCACTATTGCCGGACCTTGTATATAGTTTAATGTTATTATATTTAATTTATAGGTAATATCAAGCAATTTTGCTTTTTATAGTTAATAGTTTTTTTTATACAAGACGATAAAATTTTTTCGTCGTGTATAAAACAATATTTTTTTCCAAAGCGAGTTACGATTTAAAAAATATTCAGAAATTATTATTTCAAGGTATTTATTACGAGTAGAAAAAATATTGTGCTGGGTTGGCGTTGGTTTCTATGTAATTTGACAAATAAATAAAGCTGTCTCTTTAGTTGTCAGTTTTGAGTCAGTATTTTTTAATTCCCTTTCGTGTCGATTGCTGATTGAATTGGAGCCAGAAATGGCTCAAAACGAAATAAGTAAATTACCAACAGATATTCAGGCTGAGGCGCCAAACGCCATATCCAAACTACTTCCATTCAAATCCCGAATAACTTATGAAAAGGAATACAAAAATTTTCAAAAATGGAAGCAATTAAAAAACGTGCGAGAAGAAATAAAGTTTTTAACCTATCCTCGCTGTTAAAGTATCATTTAATCTACCCTTGCGGGTAAAGTACTATTTTATCTACTATTTATAATAGATATAAGGCAATTTTAACAGTTGCTATGGAAAAAATGTTATTTACAAACTGCTTTTTCCTGTTTCAGATCCGTTTGTCAGTTTGTTTGTTTGTTTGTTGTAATAACTTGAAAAAAAGTTATATGTTTTTACATGTGATTTCTTCTTTTTCTGCTTCGTGTCGTGGTTGTTCTTTTTCTTCCTTTTCAATGGCATGTGACATCATCATTTCTTCTTTCTTTTCTTCCTCGGCCATATCTGCATCCTCCTTTCCGCTATCTTCAACTGGACATTCAGTGACCGGAATTATGTATACGTCTTTTGTGGCTTCTTCTATAATGTGAAATCTATCGTTTCTCTCTTTATGTGGATGGTGTTCATTCTTTTGTTCCGGGGGGTAAATATTATTTACGTGAAAATCGGCATTCTCCGCTGTTGTATGTTCGTGCTAAAATATAAATATTAAACTATTTAAATGACTACTACATTTCTAGTAAATAACCCGAGGTTTACCAGTCATTAGCTTGGGAGCAACCTCATTATTACACTGTCAATTATTACACTGTCAATTAACGCCTATTGGCAAAGTAAACCAAGCCCGAATAGTGATAGGATTAATTCGTATTTCCTCGACTAACTTTTTTAGTCTAGGCTAACTTTCATTTCGTAAAACTTCATCCACACTACTCGTAAAATTGCTCAAGATTGAGCGAAAACGACAATGAAGGGAGCGACTCTGGATTGTCTAATTCAATTTTGCCTCGCTTTGAGCGATTTTCGTTCCTTGAATTTTTTTAGCCCGAGTCAAAGGACTTTTATTTCTATGTAGCTCAGAGGAATAAGCACCTAAACCTAGACTGTCTTAAAATATTTCTTGTTGGTACCATCATCATATTTTTTACTTACAATCTTTTTATGTTGCTATACTCTAAAATATTATCATTTGAATACACATTCCTGGCAAATATGTAGAGCATATACAGGGTGGTCCGAATTGTATTCGGGAAACTTTTGCAGCATATTCTTCCATCGATATTTGGATGAAAATAAGTGTCTGGGTGTTTTTAGGGTTCCGTACCCAAAGGGTAAAAACGGGAACCCTATTACTAAGACTACGCTGTCTGTCCGTCCGTCCGTCTGTCACAAAGATTTATCTTATGGACCGTTATAGCTAGACAGTTGAAATTATTACAGATAATGTATCTATGTTGCCGTTATAAGAACAAATACTAAAAACAGAATTAAATAAATGTTTATAAATAAAAAAGTACTTTCACTAAACATTATCTTTTAAGAAAGAATTTTACATAGAATCTTTCAAGTCCTCGGTGGCCAAGTGGTTTAAAGCTTTAGGACTTTACGTTGCTATGACGTTGAAGCCGTAGTAAGGCAGTTTCGACTCCTAGACAAGGCGACTTTTTTCTAATCGTTTTTTTTTTAATTTTTACATATTTGTACATATTTTTATATATTTTTACATATTTTTACATATTTTTACATATTTTTACATATTTTTACATATTTTTACATATTTTTACATATTTTTACATATTTTTACATATTTTTACATATTTTTACATATTTTTACATATTTTTACATATTTTTATATATTTTTACATATTTTTACATAATTATTTTTACTTTTTATATATTTATTATTGATTAATACAATTTTTAGTAATGTGTTTCTTCATTTTTTTTAAATTACTTATACGCGCATTCCAAATTTCAGCTAAATCGGAAAAAAGTTTATAATAATATAGTGTCTAATGTTGTATAGATAATGAATGATACGGAACCCTTCGTTGACTCGCAGACTCGCACTTGACAATTTTTTTTACATGATAAATTTGATTTCGATGTCAATATGACTCCGACTTATACGTTTGTAACTGCTTTGTAGAGTAAAATACCTTTTTGTCCGTACCTGTATAAAACTACTGAGTGCAGAGGCGGATACAGAAATTTATTTTAGGGGGGGGGCAAATAAAAAGTAATGTAGAATAATGCTGTTTAGAGCGCCATTTTTAACTCAAAAGGCTAATATTTAACCCAATTTATAGATTTTAGGGGGGGCTCGAGCCCCATGTGCCCCCCTCTCTATCCGCCACTGACTGAGTGAAAAGACATACATTTCCGTCATTTTCTACGAAAAAAAGGTCTTTTGGTAAACGCCGCTTCAAGCAACCGTTTTCAAGATATTTGAAATGGAAATAGTCAATATAGGTCATTAATGACAAAAAATAAACATGTTGATAACATAGTTATTTGACTGAAATAATAAAGTTTGGAGCTTTTTATTTTTTTAAGGTAATCATGATTTTTTTAAAAAAAGAAACGATAAAACAGTTTCTGTTGAAGATTTGGCACACAAAAACGTTTTTTGAGTTTATTATTTCACACTATACTCTGTTTTTTTTCTCAGGTAAGATTTCGACAGACGATGACAGAAGAAAAGCAGATGACGTCCCATACCAATCTATTTATTTTACTAAAAAAAGTTTCTAATAATTTTTAAGTTATCTATGGATGGGTTTAAATATAAATCCGTCATGCGTCGTGTCTTGTTGTTTTTAACCAGTTTTATTGGTTTATTTAAAAAATGACAGATCGTATTTCAATTTTATTGGTTTGACGGAACGATGAACGACAAACGGACGCCGATGCGTATGAACTCGCCTTTAGATTTTTGTCATTTTTGACGCTTGTCAAAGTCTTGCCAAATTATAGGTTATAATTTTGTGTCAACTTTTGTTAAATACCCTGCGTTTTGGAAGATGATGCATTTTGATTCGTATTATTACGTGTGTTTTGTGTCTTTTGAAGTCAAGTGGAGGAAAAATCGAGTGAAAATTAACTGTAGACCCAGAGCACAGTTTATGGTTAATACTCGCTGCCCAGGCAGAAAGTCTTATACACCAATGAAGTTGCCATCGATAAAGTTTGTATACCATTTCGTCGTAGATAAGTGCATCTCGTATATGGTAGAAGGATCAAACTAAACACATACTAAAAACTGGAGTAGCTGTAAAATATCGACATCACACGATAGGTAAATAATGGATTTTAGTACTGCAGAAAAATAATGTCAAAAGAAACAAAATTAAGATTAAAGTTAATTAACCAACCTTTAAGGTATAAAATTTGGTAGGTGTTATTATTAATAAAATAGTTTGTTTTATTTACCTATGTTGTTTTATTTATTCCTGTGGAATATTACAAATTTTGTATTTGTACATAAGTTATATTGATAAATATAATCATAAATGCGGGTAGTTTCATAAAGCTTGAAAGTAAATAATAGTTCTTTTTATTTTTTTTGGTATGTAGTGTCTTGTTCTTGTTTGTTTTGTATTAACACATACCGTTTTTATTAAATAAAATAACTCGATTACATTTTTTCTCAGTTTTATACAGTTTTTTCACAATATTTTGAAGTAATCACTTGTCATCTTGTCAATCAAATTTTAAATATATCCTGCTATGCGTTCCAGTTGTACCAACTTATTTCTTTGTAAAATAAAATAAACTACTTTGAAATTAAAATGACAGACACATCTATCACTGTCAAGGATCTTCTCGTTGGACAGACTATAATAACAATCCAGTCTACCGGGTGCGTCTCAAAAGTGGCTTAACCTAACCTAATCTAACCCCTATAACTAACGAGATTTGGTATGTTTGTTTTCACAATAAGGGGCCGTCCTTTGCCAGAAACACTGCGACCTGTGAGGCCTATTGTGTTTGTCCCCTTTCTATATCTGCACCCATTCTCCTATCCCTGTGCCCTGCACTAACTTATGCATGTTCTTGATAGGATGGGAGCATAGTTCCTCCGGTTCTAGCCTAGCTTTCCCAAATAAAATGTGTCGCTTGTGATCCAGAGCCTGGCAGTGACATACGTGCTCCGCTGTTTCAGGATCTTTATCGCAGGGTCTGCAGCAAAGACTTCCTTAATACAGGTTGAGCTTGTTCAGGTAAAACTTGACAGCCATATGTCCTGTCAAGAGGCCTGTTGTAATCCGCAATTTATTCCTGCTAAGCATTAGCAGTTCTTATGCGGTTATAGAGCTAGGTCCTTGGATAAAAGCCTTGCTGTGCCCGTGCCTCTGTCTGTTTCTCCAGTGGACATTCTGCTTTTCCCTGATCCAGAGTTTTGATTTGGTATGTTAGCATTTGACATAAATTAGGATTGATTGACGTATTCAAGTGTTTTCGGTCACTTCCGGTTTCACCGGAAATTTCTACAATTTTTGATTTTTAAATGGCACCCCCGGATTTTTTTACTTTATTCGATAGAAAATGTCACTCTGAATAGAATGACATATCATATGTCAACTTTATTAAAAAAAAATGAAAGTGAAATTTATATTGTTTTACTCAGAAGTGTAATACAGGTACGGATGAAAAGTTATTACTACGCTTGAAAATAGCTCAAAATATGCACGTGGTGCCCCCTACAAATAGGAGCCATACTGACACCGAAATCGATTTTCTCATGTCAAAAAAATATCCACAGACTAATTTTCATCCAAATATCGACGTTAGCTCAGAAATTATTTAGGGAAAGATCGAAATAAAAATGAAAATTCTACACCCTGTAGTGTAGAAACACCCTGTATCTCCTAAAAAAAAACATTTTAGGACATAAATTAATACGAACTTTTTTTACCACATTTATATCTGCAGAATATTCTGCCGAAGTTTCTCGAATACAATTCGGAGGACCACCCTGTATTTAAGGATAATGATGGGACTAACGATTTGATATTGAAGAAAAATGTGGGTTGATTTTGGCATAATTGAGGACTGGCTACAGGAAGATGCCCTTTCGTGCACTACGAAACCCCATCATCAATGAATCAAATCAAAAAATCGTCCGATTTAAATGAAATTTGGTATGTCGATAGATCAGACCAAGGACGGTGTACCACACGTGTCACTGTGAGAGTTAGTTTTGACGTAAGAAACGTCAAAAGTTGTTGTCTTCCGATCGCGACCAAATTTGGTGGGTAGGCTATGTGAGGACGAAAGGATCGTCAACCTGCAAAGGTTGTAATACGACGTTTCGTTTAGATCTTCATCAAGGTGGGACTAAATATTCGATATTGAAGAAAAATATGGGACGATTTCGGCATAATTGAGGCGGGCTACAAGATGATGTTCTCGACGTTTCGAACCGATCGATGTCTCTAAATGGACAAAATCATCGGGATTTTTCTTAATTATGGGTCGATTGAAACCAAACTCGGCACGTGGATAGAGGCACCCGAATGGAGTCCTTAGACAGACAGACGGTAGTAAGAAGAAGTTTCACTTCAAATATGAGCACATAGTGCACACACATTTTTTTATCAGTATTTTAGTAAAATATCTCTAAACAAAGAGTTTGTTATTTTATCCGGGTAGCATAGTTGGACTATAATATGACCGTTAAGGCCGAGACA